CTGTGTTAGAGTCGAGGAAAATGGATGTATTTCTCTCTCATCTCTTCCCATTACCTCTTACTTCTGGTCTCTTCATTCAAAAAACAGATAGACTTTACATATATTTTCTTATGTATAAGTTTCTCTTTTATATTAAAGATTCTTTGAGTTTGTCGTACTTGTGTTTCTTCATATTTTATTTAACTATTACCTCTTTTCCACCACAATCTGAGGTATATGCACGTTGTTTAAATGTGAAAAAAGCCGCTCAAAATAGATGCTGGATTTCTTTCCAATTGCCAGGAAACCAGAGCCACTCTGCAACAGACCTGTATGTCTTTATGTTTTTTAATTTTTATTTTTTACTGCTGTGTCACATTCTATGTCACAGATGCCAGAAAACAGGTTAGTAAGCAGCATGGAGGCTGGTGAAAATGTTACAGAGGTTACTTTTTTTTATATCTGTCACTTACTCAGTCTCTCTTTCAAACCCGGCGGAGCCTAATTTAGAAAGATGTGTGAAAGCTGCTTGAACGGAGATGGACAGTATTTTTTGTACAACCATCGCTCCACCCATCCGCACACTTAATGAAAGATAGACCAAAAGCTCAAACATAAAGTAACACTGCCTTGATGTAAGTGTATGGAAATCCAGTGTCAGTACATCATTGCATCACGCCAGAAAAGGGGTGAAAATTAGCATGTCCACCCAGGTATTGTATTTTCATCATTGCCGACAGGAGCTGACGCAGATAAATAAACACCCATGAGTAATGCAGAGTAATCTGTCTACGGAGTCAGTGCCAACTGTAACCTTTCCCAAAAACTAGAATTACCACCTTGCAGTTGTATGCCTCCGTGATCAGTCAAACTGTAGTCACAGTTTACATCCATGTCCGTCCAGATTCATGTAGCCATGACAGTTAACAATGCTTCAAATATGGATGTTGCTGCAATGAAGCTACATATTCTAAAACTTGGATGCTTCACACAGATCTTCAAACCGCCAGCAGAGAAGATCTATACAATCGCCACAGTTTCACGATGAACACTCAAGATTATTGTCATCAGTTCAGTGTCTGATCAAATGTCTCCCCTTCTGTGCCCGAATTATGATGTTGAATAATGGCAAAAAAAGTGTTTTTGTGTATATATGCAAGGACGGATGGAAGAACAACCTGAAAACATCATGCCTCCAGCCATACAGTAGGTATTGCCAGCATGGAGGCATAAAAACAAAAGTAGGAAAGGGGCTTATGTTCATAATTGTGCACCAACACACCAAGGCAAATTCCTTGTGTATAAAAACCTCCATGCCAATAAACCTGATTCAGAATCAGACTGTACTGACTGTACTGACTGTTTCAGCAGGGCACTGCAGGGTGGGAAACTACCCCGCTCACTATCCAAATGCTGCTAACACTCCTGCCAGTGGCTGTTGATGCTACAAGCATCCCGTGGCTTGAAGACAAATATCTCACTAACTGTGGTGTAGGAGTTTTAATAATGTGACACAGAATTCCACAGTAGCTTTGTTTTCATCAGCAAAGTACAACAAGCGTCAGTGGTGAGCATTACCAGAGTCACACAGAGCAAAATCAAACATACACACATCCAAACTGAGTGTGCTGTGGTGTCTCATTGGGGTTAATTCTTTGCATATAAAAACAAACACATAAAACACACCCACAGAGAGCCAGCAGTGATGAACAGTGTCCAACTCTTATTAGGACTCCCTTCCAAATTCCACCCAACGCATCCAATGCTTACGACTCCCACACTGCAACTAGACTCCAAGCAGCACTAACATATTCCTCACCACATGACACCAGCAGAAGGTAGTGCATTCACTGGATTTAGTGGGAACCTCCTGACATAAGTTTCTGACAGAAGTTGTTTCTCACGTGGACCCTCAGGTCCACAGCTGGTTTGCTATTTGTCCAGGTGGTTGCAGTGATCACAATTTTACGTCCTCCAGAGTTTTCTGCATTAAACATTTATGCTTATTAGTTCAGACTACCGGTGACAAAGCAAAAAGCTACAAGTCATTGTTGAAGGAAGCCTACACTTGTCGTGGCCTGATGGACGTTTAGCAGATCTTAACTCTTTAAGCGCTTCAATGATGCAGCGAAGCATCAAGAATCCAGTGTTTCCCACATAATTAGAATCTATGTGTGGCAGTAGCTGACGACGGGGGACTGACTTTCCTTTTTTCTTTCACTGCCTGTGTGTCCTTGTGTACGAGTCTGTGTCTCCTCTCTGTTTTGGAGGTTTTATGCAGATATGTGAACACAGTGCAGGCGCAACTCTTTTTTGTCCCCTCAGCAGCAGTTTCTGGAGTTTTGAGTAGATAATTGTTGCCTGTAGTACCAAACAATGCATGAAGTACGGAAGAGGAAGTCTTAGCCCAAATATCAGCTGCCTACACCTGATCTCCAAAAGTACTGGCCGTTATCCCAAGAGGATGATAACCCAGACTGCATTCATATATATGCAGCCCACCTAGCCTGCTCCCTCCTGTTAACCTGTTTAGATTCTTATGATCCATATTGCTAACCTGATTTTGGCACTGTATAGTGCTATTGTGTGTGTTTAGAATTTGCACCCTATTGTTATTGTGATCTTGTTGATTGTTTTCTTAGCCCTTTTATATTTGCACCCTTCCCACCTCCTATTGCCACTGCTGCACAGCAATTTCCCTCTGGATAAATTAATTTTAATCTCATTTTAAATGATCCTGAGCTCAGCCCAGTTCAGTGACGCCTCTTCTGATGTCCTTAAAAGAACCATTATGGGGTGGTCACCTGTGATGCAATGATGCATTCAGACTCTGCTCCCTAACTTGTTAAGTCAAGAAATATCACATGACCATATCATATTTACCAGGTGCAGGAAAATATATCATTAAAGCCGGCCCAATTAAAAGTTACTGCAGTGTGTAAACAGCCTGTGGAGGTTGTTTACAAAAATAAGCTGTTACTATAGATAAATGAATCAAATCATTAGAATGTATTTACTAATACAAGTTTCCTTCATAAGTAAAAAGTGAAAGTTGTACTGTAAACTCTACTAGCATGGAGTTAACCAGGGGTATCACCAACTTTATCAGATGTGTCAGAAGCTTCTGGTGGTAAATGTAGTGTATGTAATGACTGACTTGAAGACACAAAGCATGCTGCTGTCTCTGAGAAGAAGGGCAGGAACAACTCACATAGATACTACAAGGAATCCTCTGACAGTCCCATTTTGGGAAGAACAGGCTGAGCCAACAAGCTTTCAGCCCTCCCAAGAACACACCTCAAAGACAGGGTACAGAGCTCCTGATTGCACAGCCAGAAAAAAAAACAGCAAACCAGCAAAGTTGATGTGATGACAAACAATCACAAACACCACAGTGATCCTCTAGTTCACAGGTGAATCAGGGACCTTCACTCAGTGCGATGGTCACACTGTGCCCTCTGGTGGATAAAAAAAGACACTGAACAGCTGCAGTTATTTGGATGGTGACAACAGACCACAGCACACCATGTTTAGAAAAAAGGGGGTATCCCAATGAAGGGCCAAAACATTTTATGTCAGAGATATTAGACAGCTATGTACTGTTGCCATCACTGAAACAGCATAACTTGGTTTTCACTGACTACTGGTGGACAGCAATGCTCCACACATACAGGATGTGGACTAATTCATAGTTTTCACATCTGCATGTCCACAAGGGTCTGCTCTGGACTGCGTGATGTAAATGTCATCATCCACTCATGTCCATGAGGGTCCACACAAACCCTATGTTGATGTCCATGTGCAGCCCATTTTATTCTGACCTCCAGACCTCCAGCGCATGCTCCAATCTCATTTCACACTTCAGTCCAGTTCAAAACACTGCAGTCACGCCAGCCGCAGCCGCAACATTCACTCAAGACACAGAGGCGTCTTCTTAGTTTTACTTTCACCGGACGTCAGCAGTAGGAAGACAGTAAGCCCACCTCCCAGCACTCCCATTGCTGCTAGGGGCTTACACGGACCATCAATTGTACTACAAATACAACCGTGCATGCATGACCACAGCTATCTGTGGACATTCAATGTGGAAACTATGTCCTAGGTTTAAATGATAATTAAGAATTAAACTGAGACATAGATGGTTTCAACATTCAGAGCTTGGATTTCGAACATAGATATGAAGAGAGCCAGATGCAGTGACATTCAGCCTGTGTCCACACTATTGTTTAAACGGTGTCAGCATGTTCCTCATTAGCCGGTTCCTCTTACACCTCTTTCAGTAAAACTGGGAGTCAATTCCTTGTCCTCTTTGTCAGACGTGATGACCTTCATTTGTGTAACATCTCTACACACGTCCATCTGTAGAGGATTCATGTGCAGCAGTGGAAAGTAACTGTGTACATTTACTCAAATACTGCACTTAAGGATTATTTTTAAGGTTCCTGTATTTCACTTGAATAGTTTCATTCTATGATACTTAATATTTCTGCTGCACTACATTTCAGATAGAAATTTATTTAAAAAGTTTAGTTGATGAGTACTTTTGGTACCTTAAAGGTCTAGTGTGTAAGTTTTAGTGGCATCTAGCAGAGATGTTACAGAGCTGAAATTTCTCCCATGTGCCAAACGTGTAGGAGAACTACGGTGGACGATGCAAAAACACAAATGGCTCTATCTAAAGCTGCTAAGTGAACTGTCTGTTCTGGACTACTGTACAAACAGCATGACAGACTCCATGGAAGACGACTCGCTCAGTATATAGATAAAAACAGCCCATTCTCAGGTAACGAAAACACGATTGTTATCACCATTACTGCCAATAGATTCCCCTAAATCCTACACACTGGACCTTTAAATATATTTTGCTGCTGAAACTTTTGTACTTTTGTCAAGAGTAAAATTTGGAATGCAAGACTTTAACTTTTAACAGAGTATTTCTACTCTGTGTCATAAAAGATCTGAGAACTTCTTCCATCACTGTTTATTTCTGAATGACACAAAATACATTGGAGTGTGCTTACTTTTCATAGTACCGGCTTCTTCCTCATCCTCATCATCGGAGTTGATGACCATGGTGCCCAGCTGTGACTGCATGGTTCCAGTGTCGTCATGTGCGATCATAGTCCGAGCCGTACCGCCGAGTGAACTTGCTAATGATCCAGCGGCCCGGATAGTTCCTGAGTCGCCTGTCCCCGCCCGCACCATCGTCCCCTGGTCCACCTCATCCTCGTCCTGAAACACACACAGGCAGAGGGTAAAACCAAACACAAGTCATGTGAGAATCTGGTGGCTGTATGTCCACAAACAAATAGAATGCTGAGAACTGCTGTCTATAGTTTATTCTGCCTGGAACATGAAATCCACCAACATCAGACACAGCAGGTAGATTATCTTTTAACAAGTCACTTAAACAGAAACATATGAATCTCACAGATGTTATTTTAGTTACTGTTGCTTTGAAACCCTTTTTTGCCTTTTATTTGTCTATCTTTTCATACGTAGAGTAATTTGATCTGTATTTGGCTTGTCTGGCCTCTTCTTGTTTGATTGATAATGTGTGATTTTAAATAATTGCTTATTTTTATTATTGTTGCTTTTGTGTGCACCCCAGGAAGACCACCGACCACTTTTCAGAAGAAGCCTAAAAGGTTAAAAATCTAAAGTAAATTAACTGCAATGACACATTCTCGTAGGTTTAAGGTATCCTATGCAGGGTTGTCATTTACTGTTTGAAAACACATTTGCTAGCGAAAGTGAAAGCCCAGGTTTACCCTCCGTTGGTGTTACACCTTGCTATACTTGTGTTTTTCTGCGCTTGTATTGAATGCCTGCTGTTTGTGGCACCTGGACACTACCTTTTTATTAAGCTCCGACCTCACCCAAGCGCTGCGGGGGAACATGTCCCGAACACAGAAAATGAGACGTAGATAACAAAATACAGTCAGAGGGCAGAGTCTCTGGAGAAAAATACACCACAACACACTTAGTGCATCGTACAGTAAGTGATGATTGAAAGGGATTACTTCTGTGCAAGTCTATGTATTATATAGAAGTTGTTTTTAGGAAAATCCTGCAGAGTGTAACTTTAAAATTACTTCTGATGCCTTTCTTAGTTCTACTTGTTGTGTAAAAGTTATATCAGCTAAGTATGTGTGGCACAGACGTTGTTTTAGGGTGGGGGATGAACATTTTTGATCAAGATCAAAGAGCTCAAAGAAGAGTTTTTTTTTTTGTTTGTTTTGTTTTTTTTACATATTTTGATGGAGTTTTGATTATTCCTTTCTTTACCGAGTTGTCATCATCGTCTGCATCCTGCTCTCTCTGTTCAGCCTCCTCCTGTCTCTTCAGTTTGATCTCCATGGCGTCTGTGATCAGCGCTCTGAGGATGGGGCTGGCCTTGGCTGACTTGATGAACGGATCCTGAAAGAGAAAGAGAGCGCATTGTCTTTACTACTGTTCTAAATGCTGGACTGAAAATGTTTAGCTACAGTTCAGGTTCAGTGGTAAAGGTTTATATGAGGTTACCTGTAACAACTGTGTGGCAGTCGCCCTGTTTTCTGGGTTTTTCACCAAACACTGGCTGACAAATGCTCTAAATGCTGGAGACCACAAATCTGGGTTCCTGAATGTTGGTGGAGGGTTGGTGGGAATCATGAAGATAGCCTAGAAACAGAAACATCACTCAGTATAGCAAAACACGAAGTTGTGCACGCAGAGACATACTCAACAACAACTCTGTCTTCATAAAGGAAGTTGGCCGTCTAACATCTCTACACACACAAATACACTTTTTTCTCTTTATAAACCCAAACACAAAGACACTGTAAAGACTCCCTCACCCTCATGGGATGTATGTCAGCGTAGGGAGGCTTCCCCTCGGCCATCTCTATAGCTGTTATCCCCAAAGACCAGATGTCAGCCACACAGTTGTAGCCGATCTCCTGTATGACCTCTGGAGCCATCCAGAACGGCGTGCCGATGACTGTGTTTCTCTTCGCCATGGTGTCCTGAGGAACAGAAAGAGATAATTGAATCTGAGCTCAGCGTTATAGAAACTACTCACTGTGTGGAACTTCCTGAAACAAATGAAAGAAGAACAAGAACACAAAGACTCTCTTACCGTACTAATGAACCTTCATTAATATAGGCCTATATTTTATCTACAAGTGCACGTCACACACTGAGCGAGCCGCCTGTTAATGACGCTGTGGGCTAATGGGCACGTAGCTACTTCCATGTTTCAGATGATACGTCATGTTTGTAGTCGACCAATGAAGATGAGTTTACATATCACCTTGGGTTTGTCCTTCACCTTCTCAAAATGATCCCACACTTTGGATTTCCTGCCCGACATGTTATTAACTAGCCTGTGGAATAACCGCAGGTACCAGCCCTGGAAATTAACCTGACTCCTGTCTGACTGCTGAGCGTGGACACTTCCTGTGTCTGTCCTTTCAAATTAAATTCACACATGGTCCAGTCATATAGGTTTGGATTTATTTTGACAAGGCGCAGCTCCTAATAGAGTTGGGGTTTTTTTGCGACTACATGACCAATGAAATCTTGCCGACTAATGACCTTTCTGTTCCACTTACGTTTGGTTGACTACTAGGGGTCAGCCCTGATGACCCAATTAGTTAAGATACTCACTTTTTTTAAGGTTTAGTCTTCCACTGCATCGTGTATGGGAGTTGCAAACTTATTTCATTGTACTTGTACAATGACAATAAAGATATCTATCTGTCTACATTTATTTTTAATTTGTAATTTTCACTCACCGTCAGTTGTCCAGCAACTCCAAAGTCGGCCAGTTTGGCCTGGCCCTCTGTGTTCAGCAAGATGTTCCCTGCTTTGATGTCTCTGTGGATTTTTCTCATGAAGTGAAGATACTCAAGTCCCTTCAGGGTGGACTGCAGGATGGTGGCTATCTCCTCTTCTGTTAACTACAACACACACACACACAGAGGGAGGGAGGAAGATACATCAAAGTTTCATTAATATGTGCTAAATGTATAATAAGTGCCACAAATCAAAATCATGAAAAATGTGTTACAGTGGAGATTCTACTTCCCTCTTTTTTTTCATGCAGACACATAAACACACACGTCAGTATAATAACACTTACTTACACACATACTCTCTATGCTCTAAATAAACTATGTGTGTATCAGTGTGTCTGTGTTTTTGAGTGTCACATTACCGTCTTGTTGCGTATTCGGATGATATCAGAAACTGATCCGGCTCCACAGTATTCCATAACAATCCACAGGTCACTGTTTTTGAAGTAGCTGCCGTAGTACCGCACCACATGAGGACTGAACACACAGAGATAAAACTAAGCATGATAAATACTAGTGTTTCATATTGTACAAGACTGTAGTCAGTTTTTAATAATTTCAGCCTGATTAAAATGTGTAAAAAATTGTGTTAGTTAACATCAGAGTTTATCCAGCCTCCCATTGTGCTGTCATCAATAGGATCCTGTCTATATTGAGTCTGAATTAGTTGAAACTGTATCATTGTTCTTGGTGTGGCGACTGCACAACATGGGCTCTAAATAGATTTTGTTAAAGGATAGGTTCACAATATTTTAAGTCTTTCTTACAACCAGCCAGTTTCTAACTTAGTTGTGTGATTTTGTGAGATTGTGGATTTTGTTCTCCATCACATACATTGCCAGCACATCAGGAAGGGATCTCTTGATGTTCAATATGGGTAACTGACAGACTTAGAAAATATGAACCTTTCTTTTGATATAAAAAATAATCTTACATCAGTCACTTTTCATTTTAACACAGATCTGAATGCGTGTATTTGCAGCACACGACATACTAGCTAAAGAGTAAAGTTCTCCAAACACTAAAATGAGGCACACTGGGTGTTGGAAGCTTCAGTTTTACTCTGAAATCACCATCAGGAGGAGGTCAATGTTTCGGGAAATAGTGTACCATAAACACCAGCTAAGTTACTGGCATCACAGACCTACATGTAGGTGATATGCCAAACAGAATATCAGACAGCTGAGCATGATGTACACAAGTGAAGCTGTTTTTACAGTAAGACCGAAAGCTTAAAAACACCAAATAATCTGTCAAAATGATCTCTGCTGCAGCATCACATTGTACAGAGGGAAAACCTAAAAACACATTCACTCACTGTGATTTCTTGGTACAATTACAGAAGCACTTTTGCAGTGTTTCCCCTAAAAGTTTTTCTGACAACAGTCTGAAGGAGTGTTCACTTATGGGAACCCCCCCAACAAAACCAGTTATGTCGTGTCATGTTATGTCATGTTGGATTCTTTTTTCCACTGAAGCTGAAAACACTTTAAGTCACTTTGAACAACAGCTTCTGTCAGATGACAGTAACGACTGTAAAGTGTTAATGATAACACAATTTAAATACAATACCAAGACTTCACAGCTCTTTCACATCACATACATGTTTTATAAACTCTGAGATTATCTACATTTCAACAGAGGTGGCCCACCTCTGCAAATTATGAGTGTGAGAACTCTGCCCACATGAACTGGAAAGATTTGTGTCACAGCGGTGATGCTTTTAATGGCTTTCTCTAAATTCAGTCAGAACACATTTGTTTCCACGTGAGTCAACACGTACCTGTTGCACTGCTGCATGATGGAGATTTCCTTGATGATCTCCTGAAGATCTGACTCCACTGGAACTTGTTTGATGGCTACGATCTCCCCCGTCTCTTTATGATGGGCTTTAAACACACAGCCATACGACCTGCAGAGACACAAAGGGAGAGATCACATGTTGTGTTTGTTGTTTCTGTCAACTGTGGAGAACTAACTAAACAACAGAATCGACTTGAAGTAAAACTGTTTTGGCAGGCAGCAGGAGTCAGCACCTGAATCTCAATGATATCAATTAGGCCCAGTCCCATTTCTACCCCTTAAATCTTCCACTTGGTATTGAGTGTCCTCGTTTGCAAGATAACCCTTGATGAGGGAAGTGAGAAATATTAGGGTAGAGATCTTTCCCTAAGAAATGAGACACCACTTCATGCAAATCGGCGCGGTCAACGTGCAGGCATACGTCACGCGTAGTAGCAATGCAAGATACCGGTAGTCATTCAGGTTTGAAAATGCTGGCTCCAGCGCTTGTGTTGTGGCATGTGCTATGGTTATTCATCTCCGTCTGATGAATCAACGGAGAAGAAATGCTGAAACAGGAGGCGTCTACGATGTCTTCTAGTTCTGATTGATTTTGTTCGGCTAAGTCGATTTGTTTATATATTTTGATGCTGTGTTCAACCGAGTTGCTGATGAGTTTACGCTAGTCCAACCATCTGTTTGTATAGCCTACATTCCGATCGTACAGTAACAAATTTTTTCAAAAACTTCTGGGAAATTTCATCTTCCACTTCGTTGAAAGTGTTGGTCGGGGCTTTCTTGGAATCTAGGGCTGGTTTTAAGTGTTGGAAACCACTACCTCAATTCTGTTTTGGGGCACCACTAGCCTAAACGTGAATGCGCACAACCAAGTGCAAGTGGGTATTTCTAGAGGAAGTGTGGTATTGGGACAGGCCCTTAGTATTCTCTATAACTCCAACTTAAACGCAGCACAAATCCAGTTTTTCTAGATTCCTATTTCCAATCATCAAATTAAACCCTGGTCCTGCACCTCAAGGCTATAACAATTATTAAAGTCCAGGTGAAGTTCAGGATTTTTGGGAGTGCCTGAGATCATGGCTTGATGACGCACTGGAGCCATCTTTAACCCCCCACTACTAAGTATAAGTTTATTAACACATTTAGATTAGGGCCGTAACGGTACATGTATTTGTGTCGAACCGTTCGGTACGCGACTTTCGGTTCGGCACGACCCTGTACCGAATTATTGGGCGCAGGATATTATTTTATTTTATTTTGTTTTATTTTAATTCTGTTTTTGCGAGCCGAACCATTTAAAATATCTAGCTCCCCGACGGACATAATTGAGTGACGGACCGAGTCCCGTAAATCTCAGCTTTCACTTTGTGCAGCACATTCTCGCATTTTGACAACATGGCAAGTGAGCCTGACGAACCTGAAGACCCACCCGCAAACCTTAAGTTGCTAACGAAAGTCTGTCGCTTTGCAGCAGCTCAATCTTTGGTTCAGCTCCTTCAGCGGACCCATACCCCGGTGTCTTGGAGCAGAATACTATTATTATTACTACATATTTATTTTTGCTTTACACAGACTTTAAATGTTAAAGTTCCCTGCAAATTTTGCCATCTCTCCACACCACTGTGTTCACACAAACACTTCTAATTATAGACATTTTCTCTCCTGCATGACTTACACTAAATTTTACTGCATTTCACATGATTGAAAATGATGACTAAAACCAGTAAACCGTATTGACTTGAATAAAGATGGTATCTTTCTCTGGAAATTACATTTGAAAAAGATGTGTGGGTTGTTTTGTGTTTGAGGAGGCGACATCTGTACTGACTGTCTCTGTCTGCGGGCTCACACTCACTGCTTACTGCCACAATACTCTACATATATACTATACTAGACATGCACTCACATACCCATTCATTTCTATATCTAAACTATTTACACTGCATAAATCTGACCTATAGTGTATACACTGTATTCATAACCTACCTCCAGCTATTTATTCTGTATATATTATCACACTTAAACCTGCACTATGTATTTGCCTGCTACAACTGCTGCACGTTACTAATGTTCATACCGTATAGTAGAGTATTTATATCGACCCATTTCTGATTATATTATATTCTATATATCACTGTTAACTCTGTATATTACTGCTTTTTGCAATTCTGGTTAAATACTAAAATGCATTTTATTGTCTCAGTACCTGCACTGCATTGAAAGTTACATCTGATCTTAACGGCAAATATTCTTTTGGACTGGAAAAAGGGCTGTCAAGTTTCTGTAAGTCTTTTGACAGTGTGTCTGTGACAGTGTTTAATCACTCCAGTTTAACCTGCTGGAGTTTCTGACGGCTCGTGCAGCATGTTTCAAAGAAACTGAAAAACATGACCAGTAACTGCATATAAAAGTAATTAGATACTAGGGGAAACAACTTTTGTGTTACTTTTAAATATCTGCTGAATTTCCTCCTCTGATTCTGACTCAGTTCTCTTATTAATACACACAGAGATCTGTCATTTTAGTGTTGGGACAACTTTCATCTTTGACTGTCTCCATTATCACTATGACGAAAGGTAAATAGTGGAACAATAAAACATGACATGTCTTGCTTGGCGTATTTATTGTAGCCTCTACGGGTCTCCAAGTCAACACAAGTCAGGTTTTGCTCTTTTGGCAGAGTTAAATGAAATACCTGTTTCTCAGACATTAGACAATTATTTCTTATCGTGACAGACCTAATGAACATAGGGATAAAAGGTATTTATTTCCATCACTATGGGTGACGTTAGATCATAAGTGGGAAAAATTCCAGGGAATAGGCTCTGTTCGTCTGCTATGACCAAAACAAAAGTAAAGAGCCCATTTAAATTTCAGTAATTGTAATTAACATTACTAGTTACAGCCAAAAGTAGTGTAATTACTGTTGTTTTATGCTGCTGTAATTCAAGTTTTTCATGTCTTACAAAACTTCCAATGATGAGAACTTCCTGTTAGTGTATCAGGAAAACTTTCCCAGCAGGACTTATCTCAAGGAGTTTGATATCTTTTGTTGGGAATAGAATGATGTTATGTGTTTTACTATAAGTTGTGTTTCACTATATAAGTTTTAGATGTGTGAACAATGAGAATACTGAGATGATTTCAGCTGATCTGAATGTGTTTGCTTTGCAGAAGTGGAGAAGTACAGGAGAGGAAGAGACATGAAGTCTGAGGAGCACATACCGCAATGCTTAGATAATTAGTTTCATATATGGTAAAAAGAATAGAAAGTGATATACAGATAGTAAGGTACAGCACGTGTAGGGAGTTGTGTTGTTCTCTTGTCTTTCAAAACAGGAACCACGCCCCCACCGCCAGCGGGAAGGAGTCAGATTAACACGAGGCAGGGGCGTGGTGTGGTGAAGGAGGAAGTGCAACTGCCAATGAGAAGAGGACAAAGCCTTGCGTGCACAATGACACTCTGTTACGCTCAAATATACTGGGTCAGGGAAAGGACAGAAGGTCAGACTTCGTGAACTGACACACCTTTGTTGTTCGTCAGGGACGTGAAGTTGAGACCCAGAGCTCTGTAATTTTATTCCTTTACTGCTTAATAAACTACATTAACTGAGACCGAATATCTTCTCCTATTGCTTCATTAAAGAACACGCAGGACTGAGCTCACACATAGCACATTAGAGAGTAGGATGAGACTCTTAGTCCATCACTTTCTAGACATAGGTGTTCGAAAAAACTGTCCTAGAATAAGATACTTTACAACATTAGAAATATAACAGACTGTGATGATCCAATACTGAGAATATTTATTGATGCCTACAAAAATGTTTCAAATAAGAGTGCTATCTCTAAACTTTATGAAAGTCTTACAACAATAAAACACCACACTACAGAATATCTTATCTAAAATGGGAAAGAAAAGGTAACTTCAATATCAAATGAGAACTGGCTGAATATGTGTAAATTTCAGTGGAAATGCAATAACTCTCATGTGTGGTGTGAGTTTGGGTGGAAATGTTTAATTTGTTTTTCTATCTCACTGAAGCAGAGAGCACATTTTGCTGGAGGGGACGTCAAATGCTGGAGACAGTGTGGGTTTCAGGATGCCAATCACTGGCATGTATGCTGGGAGAGTCCAGTTATTAGGCCTTTCTGGACAGAATTTCATAAAGCACTGATCTGCTTCTGCAATTCTCCACCTTATTTTTACGATGTTTTGATTTTAAAGCTAAGTGTTTTGACAAATACACATTTGGCATTTTGACATCTGCTTGCAAGAGAGCCCTCACAAGGCGCTGGTTGCTTCCTGAACGCCCCACAATAGAGGAGAGGATAAATATTGTTTATGATATTTATGTTACGAAAAAGGTAACTCTTCTCTTCATCTTCAGTAAAATGTGTCCTTTAAATTCTGGGCCAAGTGGATGAAATACACAAGACCCTTATGGCCTGATTTTGTGGAGATATCAAACAAAAGACCTTGTGCTGTTTAGTCTAGCAAACCTCACTGACTGCTATCCTGTTTTTTTCCCCTCAAGTCTCCCTGACATATACTTCATGGTGCTTATATGTTTACTTTATCTCTCCCAAGATGTACAAGGTTTTTACATTTTGAAAAAATCTACAGCGGGGGAAATTATTGTTTATCATGATTTATGTATATAAGATACTTTCTAAAGAAGAAAGAGACTCAAACTAAATAAGTCAACCTTGGAGTTTCACCTCTGTTCATTTTGTTATGCTGCTGCATGTTATGCTCGGCTTTCTAAGCATGAGGAACTATTAGCTATCAGTTGTCAACATCTGTCACTTTTGGCATCCTCTCCTGTGGCTGCTCTGGACTGTTTTCTCATTATTGTCACGCATCTTTTGAGTTTGTTCTCACCCGCCCAAATAAAACTGAAAAAATGCTAAAGGCTTCCAGGAAACAACTTTAACCATAACTGGTGTGAATATCTCGGTGTCATTAACACCAGCGTGGCTGATGACTGGCTGATGTTGCAAAAAGAAGGAGTGACATCCACTGAGGGGTCATAAAGTGGTGCTCGCTGTTGAAAAACGAGAGCATCAGCAGTGACACACAAACATAGTTGTGGCGTCAATCAGCCGCTCTGAACAGGAAGTGCGTTGAGAAACAGGATATGAAGAGGCAATGTTTATGTTGATGAGCACCAGACAAAGGAGGAGCTGAATGGCTAACAGAGAAGAAACGAGGCAGAGAGGGGACAGACAGAGACAGCGAAGAAATGTGTAAATACAGGAGGTCCCCCGTCGTCTGACTGACTCCACTGACTGTACACTGACTCACCCTTCACCCAGCTTCTCCAGGACATCAAACACTTCCTCCGGCTGCTTGGTGAGGCTGTCCTCACTCAGCTTCTTCAACTGTCTGTAACAACAGAGACACAGACAGACATGTTGGTGGTGGAGAAAGGGACAAGAAAGGAAGGGAGATTAAACAGGAAACTGAAACTTTTTAATGTAAATATTTCAGGGTGGGGCTGCAACTAACGATTATTTTCATAATGGATTCATCAGCCAACAATTAGCTTCAGTAACTGATTCTTATTTTGGTCAAAAAATGAAATGAAATAGTGCAAAGTGTCTTGTTTTGACTGACTAAGAATAAAAAACCCAAAGATGATCAGTTTACAATATTTAAAAACAGAGAAAACTAGTAACTCCTCACATCTGGGAACATAGAACTAGAATATATTTGTCATTTTTCTAAAGAAAAGAATAAGAGATTATTAATCCCGAAGAGTTTTGAATTTGTTCACTCTAATGTTACATTACATACACACAGGCCTGAAAAATATGCGTTAAATGTAAAGATTCTTGCTTCATACATGATGGTTGATCAATTTTCGGTCTGACTGACTAATTGTTTCAGTTTCAGATTCAACAGGTGTTTCAGCTTGAATGGATGACACAAATTTGATTTGATTTGTACTCTGCTTCAAAAATGGCCTACATGAATAATCAATGATCAACACAGTTTCAGTTTTCTGTCAGAAAAATGAATCCACTGCAACAACTTACGAACTGTTTGAGCTGTATTTGAGCTACACTGATAACTCCCTTGTTAACCAATTGCCTCCAAGAACACTGCGATCATCTGCTGCTGGTTTATTGGAGGTTCCCAACAACAACCCAAAGGCGATCGGGGATGCAGCCTTCATCAGTTGTGCCCAAAAGCTGTGGAACACACTACCTATAGATATCAAGGAAGCTAGCTTGCTAAAAACGAATCTGTTCACTTTAACTAGCTCTGATACTCTTTCTTTTTACACTTTTACTTCATATTTACGCTTCACACTGCTGCAACTCATTATAGAGTTACACAGAATTTTGGACACAATTTAACAAAAAAAAAAAAAAAACATTCAACACTCGACAGAAACTTACAAATCAAACAGTAAAAAGGCTTGAAATGCCAACATTTTAGGAAGTACCTAAAAGGAATACATCACTCACTAAATGACCATCTGTATGTCAGTTAGTCATCTCAAGTTACCTTGAGTTTGTCAAGAAAACCATTTACCACCACAGACCACTTAACACTAGTAACTCGCACACAACTCATGCAGTATAATCCAAATCTCATTCATCCAGTCGTATGCTCAGTGCTTCCGTCATGTGAGTTTGTGTTAAAGGATGTTTTGCTATAATTTTACTGTTGTTAAAGTGGTCCATAGTCAATCAACACATCAATATGTTGGCAGTTTTCCATGGAGGTATGCAAGAAAAACAGTTCTCTTCACAAATTCAAGATAACACAGCACGACTGACCGATATACAAATGGTCATTTTGTGGTGAAGTACTCCTTTCAAGGATTTTAACAGTTGGTATCACCAAAAGAGTCTTCATGTGTGCAGTCAGCATGTTCCAACTTAATAAATAAAACCAGGCAGGATATTTAATTCAGCCTCCTCCTGGGTGAAACCGTCCACCTTTGCTCTCTCCTGGAATGTGAGCAGAGAAACAAAACTCCTCTAGATGTTTGATAAAGTGAAGACAAGATAAAAATAGTCTCAGCATACAAACAAAAATAGATCCAAACACGCCCTAGATTCAGCTCGTGAAGAGCAATTCTCAGGATGACTACAGGAAGACAGAAGGAAAGATCTAATCCAAAATCAGAGACAAACTGCTGCTCCACTCTCACAGTCCTGGTAGCTTGTATTAAAATGCTTTTGAGTTTATCTGTTGGTGCTTATTGTATGCACTGCATATAGTGTTTCATCCAACCTCCCAATGATACATGTTTCTCAGATGAATCAACAAAAAGATTGTGCGATACAATTATTTTAATCTCCTGTCTTTCTTTACATGTATTGTATGTAGTATTTGGCAGTAGCTGGTGGGTCAGACTCAAACCAGGGAAGATGTGATTAGATGAGACTTGTCTTAGCTCATTTGGCTACCAGGGTGCCACGTAAGTCTCACTTTTAAATGTGCATGGAAACATCCTTAAAAACTGCATTTAATAGGGAAGCTTGATTTAAAAGTCCGGAGTCATTCTAGAAAACAACTTCTCCAATCAAAAGTTGGCCTGTGTGCCGACTCTGAACTGTCAAATTTCTATATTATGATAACAAGAAAAATGTATTGTCACATCACTGTGTTGATACCAAATTGATATATCTCAGCTTTATCTGAAGATGAATCAGACATTTCAAAGCATTTACATAGTGATGCACCGATCAATAGGCTGAAAATCAGGATCTGTGTTTTTCTGTTGCATCACATCCATCTTGTGCAGGATAAAAAGACGATTTCCAGACTAATGGCAATAAACATAAATCAATGAGCAGGTACAAGAAGAATACAACTGTTGTGTGACGAGATGGCCTGTAGCAGCCATCGTCCCACTGTCCCTTTTTCTTGCGGACAACAGAAAACGTATGTGGGTCAAATGAACATCTTCCCTGCGACGCCTTCTGGACAAAAGGACGCAGTAAACTCACCATCATTGTGTCAGAGGACCCTATTGTTAATGTTACTGTAGTTAATGTGATCTTTAGGCAGCCAGTGGCCACAACTAACAACTGACACAGGCTGCATGTAGTTAAACTATGATGTGTTCAAGCTCTATTCAGTAACAATAAGACTTGAGCAAAGGTAAGTTATGACACGATTTGTTCAATGACATCGTGTGAAGGAGAAATTTGTTGATGTTTTTACAGCAATATATAATTTAAAATGTTTTTTATGTGAAATGTTATATTCAAGGTTGTTTCATAAATCTGTTCAATTGAGTTTGTGCTCATTTAAAAGTATTTATTCGTTTAAAGGTTCAGTTATTTTTTTAGTGTGGATTTCTTTGTTTCCCTGGTCACAAAAGTGGGAATACATATCAACAAAAACACAATAAACAATATGAAAACACTGGTATTGGTATCAGCCCAGAAGTTCAAAATCAGTGCATCCCTACATTTGTACAAGCAACGTCTTTGTCTCAGGTTACACACAAATTAATATGAGGTTAAGATCTGATCTGAGTCAGTGCTGCACTGAGAATGATCTTCATACTGAAACTACAGTAGCATTAAAGTGGGAGTGGCAGCTCACGGTTGAGCAAATAAACTATGACCAATTTACTGTTGAGTAATAAAAAGAAAAGACAGCTGGGAACTGTTACAACTAACTGTCTGTCTGATTCTGAGGCTTCGGCCCTAAAGCACAGAGGTTAAAGGATTAATCTCAATTTTGCATTGCACTTCTGTAACACTGTCGGACGCCCAACAGACAGTAAAAAGAAAAACATAAATACTGTCTGTTTTTATTCCATCCATTTTTCTTCTTTGTTAAAACCTGGCGCCTACATTACCCACAATGCAGAGACCTGTAAACAGACTTTGATGTGTACAGGTGGTGGAGTTCCCCTTTACAGCACACTGATAAAATGTCATATCAATATTGGGGGAAATTCTTTTCTATTTCATTTTGAAAATGGGCATTATCTGAGATGATTGCTGTTTCTGTGAAATCAAATTCCTGAGGAAATAAAAAGTTGAATTAAAAACTTGAATTTATTTGCTATGACACTAAGACATCACAGATGCACAACAGAAAGGTACAAGCTGCATTTTCAATAATCTCTGAAATGCAACTGTCATTAAACTGCAACCAGTCTCTCTGTTTGTCTGTTAAGTTCTCAGTTGAAAACAGAGATGTGTGTCAATATGCCTGAAACTTTCTCCAAAGATTCAGGGCCATTTTTTTATTCTCTGCCCAGCGCAGCCATATGCCAAACTTTATCGACTTCAAGCCACAAACCACAGAAGAAATACAGAGAGGAGCACTGAAATGCTAATCCACCGTAGCAGCCCATAATCTGCATTTCAAGTGGACTCTGTGAACTTCTACAGCAGCGTGTGTTTCTGCTGCGGCTCAAAGCACTGGAAGCACCAAATGTTTACATTACTATATTTAAAGATTTCCCTCCGCTCTCTTTTTCTTGCTTCTTTTTCAAGAAGGTCTTTTTTACATCTGTTAAATTTCAACTGATCTGACTCTACATTCAGTAAATGTTGTTTATAATATCCTTCTTCCATGAAACGTGGATCAGTTACTTAGAAACTTTAAAATAAAAGCAGCTCTCTGAGTGTTCGGATGAAAACCTTCCATTGTTGACATTAAACTGTAAAGTTAATCAATCAAAATCATAAAAAATATTGAAAGAAATATTGAACCAAATGTCCCCAGAAAAACAGAAAATAACATTTCCATTTTAAAAAATCTTAATCGAATGATAATTTAAGTAAAACATCTTAGGTGCAAGAGGCTCAAATATTACACTAAAAGGTGTTGAAGTATTAGCACAAATTGAGACTTTAAAGACCAGCCTGAGGAACAGCTACAACTCTTTTTCGACACTTTTCCCTTCAATTTACCTTTAATCTAAACAGTTTGAATGTGCTGTAAATTAGGTACCAAATGCCTAAAAACACCTTTGAATAATCACAAGTTAATTATTATTTGAGTCATAAAGTAAATAAAACAAAATACTGCAATCATTCAGAACTGCTGCTCTTTCTCTCGACTAATGAACTGCTTAAGAATTTTAAACATAAGTAAAACACAAGGTGCTTAAAAAACAATACCGAACCAAGTCTTGCCTCAACACAAAGGGCTATGATAATGTACAAACTCCGCCATCAGTTTATTAAGGAAACAGTGGATGAATGAGTGGACATGATAAACAAGAGACACAAGTGTGTTTTACTGACATCCTCCTGATAACTGGACAGAATAGGAACTCCTCAGTTCCCTCTGTCAAACACACACTGACCAAACTGAGCCAACAAACAAGTTTCTAAACTAAACAATAAACTGAAAGAGCATCTCGTTTAATGACCTTCTTCTCACGTCCAGTTAAAGGCATTATGAGAGCATCTAATACTGTGATTGAGGACAAGTTCTAGCTTGGGCAGCTTCAACAAATTTGATTTATTTTGCACATATATTTACTAGGGATGCACTATAATATCAGCAAGTCATCGGTGTCGGCCAATATTGGCTTTAAAATAACTATCTGGATCGTCCAACAAGCTTTTCTTATTTTGCACAATGAATGAATATCACATACATTGAAATGCATTGTATTTCATGTCTCTTATGTCTCTATCTTATGTCTTTCATGCATGTATAATATGATGGTAATTCTACTACAGAAGAGACTTGATGATCACTAAGATTAGGTGGGGAAAATATTGATATCGGTATCTGTTATCGATCACATAAGTTGTTAAATCAGCACATTGGATATCAGCAAAAAATCCAATATCATGCATCCCTAATATTTAATGAGTGACTCCACTGTTAAAGCAGCTGCCTTCTAACTGAATTGATCATGAGAAGAGATACTTGAGATCTTTCCCCATTGGCTAAATGATGTCCTGAGGGGAGATTTAACATGTTCATTATCGACTGACCTGCCAATTATTTTTTTGATAACAGGTAATTGTTTTGGTTTGGGGTTTTATTCTGTTACATGTCCTAAAATAATACCAATTACAAATTCTCAGCACCAAAAAGCTTCTTTTGTCTAATCAATATTTTAAAATCTAATCAACATAGACCTGAATATGTACTTTACTATTATATGTGAGGGAATAACATCAGGTATCCACATTTCAGAAGCTGCAATCAGCATTTTGGCTTTAATGATTAATCCATTATGAGAACTACCTCTCTGCTAATGGACTTATCAGTTAATTGACTAATTGTTTCAGTGCTAACCATAATTATTACAGTTATTGTTGAGAAAACCTCAAGAATTAAGACTTCAAAACAAACACCTGACAGGATTTTTTAGTCAATTTACGGAATTTACACTCTTGCATTAGATACTTCCAAATATGAATCAGGTTGTTTGCTCAGCTCACTACATATATTAACACACATGGGGAGCGGTGGTGCACAGACATGACAGCTAAGTGAGTCACAAACTGACACACACAGTCCAGTGATGATTAAGTCCCACATACATTATGTACATACACTACATCTGATTCAGTTTAGCCGTTTCTTGTTTTTAAACCAAAGTATCTGGCCTAATTTTTCTGCCACAAAATGTGCTGCAGTCCCTGACGCCTCACACGCTTGTCTCCATGGAAACCACCTGACAACCCAAGGCTGTGAAACCCAGAAGCTTTGAACCCAACACACACACCTGATGAACACTGAATGAATTACTGTACCTCAATCCACTCTGAGCTGAGTTCATTAAACCTACAGAGATTAAAGCAGCTAAAGTCGAGATCTGCAAATAGAGTTAAGGCATTAAACTGGATCAGCAGGCTTTGATAGTGATAACACAGGGATTTGACACAACAGATCAGGACTGATGCTGCTGATTCAGTAAGAGGTGGACTAATGAATAACAGGTTTTAATCTATTTATATTGATTTCTGGAGACAGAGAAGTAGAGATTAGTGTGTTAGCACACACACACACACACACACACACACACACACACACACACACACACACTTGTTAACACAAAATCTTCTGATCCTGACACAAGCTTCTGAGGAGCTGCCATACAGTGATACTGAAATAAAATGCCTTGTATTTACAGGACAGGAAGACTCATGAGAATTTGTGGTAAAGTTAACCAAGAACCACTCGAGGTAAATTAAAGTTGAAGATGTTTTCAGTTCATGTTTCAGTTTCTAAATTAATTTTTCAGCAGCCAACCTGTTTTCCTTGTGATATACCATCATCTTCAATACTGGAAAAAGTATTCAGATATACTTCTTATGTAAAAGTAGCATTACTACAATATAAAAATATATTCTCACAGGAAAAAGTCCTGCATTTATACCGAAGTAATAAAGTAGAAAAAGTATTTGCATCAAAATATAGTTAAAGTACCAAAAGTTAAAGCACTTATTGTGTCACTGGATTATAATTATTGATGCATTAATGTGTTGGTCACTTTAATGTTGCAGCAGGAAAAGGTGGAGCTCATTTTAATTACTTCACCCTACTGTGTGGCTTCATCCGCAATCACACAATATATTTATTCATGTATTAATATTCTGCAAGGTAACTAAAGTTTTCAAATGAATGTAGTTGCATCTGAAACGTGGTGGTGTATAAATAAAGTGGCATAACATGGAAATATTAAAGTAAAGTACAAATGCGTTAAAATTGTGCTTAGTTACTTGAGTAAATGTATTTAGTTACCTCTGGCCACTGATGTTATTTAATGTCACTCACACGCTGCGTCAAGTTTTTATGACTTGGTGTTATTTCCATGCCAGCAGCAGCTAACCTGACCACCACCAGCAGCAGCAGCAGCAGCAGCAGCGGCAGCAGACTGGACTGATAAAATCAATGATTGATGATCAATGTGTTTTCATTATTAGCATAACGTTACCTGCGAGGGTTATTCCTCATCTGTACTTTGTCCTTGTTCTCCATGTCGTCCTCTCCGGAGCTCTCACAGTCCTCTCAGTCGTGTCTGTGGCTAAAAACTTGAAGCTTGTTTCAAACACTCGATGCTAACTAGCAGTAACAGACAGTTCAGTCTGCTAGCAGCGAGCTAACTGGCTAACAGCTAGCGGAGCAGCTAGCGGAGCAGCTAGCCCGTCCTGTGTTACAGCAGCGTCCCGTGTTACCGCCGCCCGTTAGCCGCTGAAAACACTACGTCCGTTAATCATTTTGTAAAACGATGTTCACACAGCGTACACACTTCACACAGCTGCCGTATCCTCGTCTTGGAGTTCATCCTCCTCCCGTGTCGAGACAACTTTGGACTTGTTTGACAAACCGCTCAGAGCCGCTGTGACATCCAGTTTGAAAACACCAGGAAGTGCTGAGAGGAGAGGAAGGCGGTCCAGACAAAGACTGCAGTACCTGGTGACAACAGCAGGGGGCGCCAGAGACACACCGATGATACAAGGGGCCAGGCTGTGGAAATACCTTTATACAGTCTATGGGAAATACATCAGACTGGGGCTCCTAACCTTTGACCTTAAAACCTCCTGAGACCCGAGGTCCTGTTGGGTATACATTTTTTATTTCTCCAAGCTATTTTGGATTAGCAGGACCTGATTCAACCAGTTTGTTCACACTTCTCGTCATAATTAATTGCACACTTTTACTTGTGCAATTTTGATGTTTTTTATTTTATTTCTGTATATTTCTCTGGTATATTCTAAATTTTAGTGCTACTTATGTTTGTATATATTTTGTATTTCTATATTCTCATATATTTTATTTCGATGTGTATGTGCATGTATATTACTGTCCACATACTGTTTGATTACTTGCTGCTGTGACACACAAATTTCCCAGTTTGGGATTATTTAAAAAATCTAAGTATCGTCTTTGAACAGAAGGTATTTAAAAACAATAAATTAAAAAAAATAAAAAATCTGTCCTCAAATGGGTACAGTGGGTCTATTTTATTGAACTGAATTAAATATAATTTATTTCATACATTTAAAAAATAATAAAATACTATGCGTATGTAAAATAATAATAATAATAATAATTAAATAACGGCAAACATATAAAGCAGATTTTCAATAAGCAACACAAATACCCTGCATTTCTGAAAAGGAGTGCGAAGAAGCAAACGTCTTGTCTAATATCTATTCTAACCCATCAATACACAATCATTTAAATGCAGGCCTTATTTGTAGCAGAGCATTTTTTAAACTGTGTTATTGCTACTTTAACTTGAGAAAAAGATTTTAGTATTTCTTCAACACTGTCAACTGTCAAGTGTGGACATCAGGGGCTTCATGATGTTGGTTTGGTGACATCCAGTGACACATAGTGTCATTTCCTGTTAGTTTTAAATATTAAAGTACATTGGTTTATTGCATACTAACTATTTGAGTGTGTTGTGTCCAAATTCCACACATTTTAATATACTAAAACTAGAATAACACAGGAAGTTAATACCCCCCTCTCTAGCTTTATCTTTCAAATTCTGACACCAAGAATATAAAAACATTTCTTATAAACTTGGACTTTGAAATGTACATGTATATTAGTGTATGTTAACAGAAAAATAATATGATTTATATGAGCAGAGATTTTCTGGTTATGATGTTTTTAATGTTATAAATCAGTATATGGTCAATTCTTTATACTGTTGGCATGCTTTATAGAATTTGGGACGCAGTACTTTCTAGAATATTGTCAGTACTGCACAGCCTGTATGTCTCTACTCCTCTCCCTACCAACAACTATTTTCAATTTCAACAGGTGTGAAATATGCTGATTTGATGTAACACTAATATTTGACACTCTTAAACAGTAGATTAAAGTTTGATAATAAGTAATCAGTGATACCTAACAGACACTTTAGTGCTGCACTACTGTTGGATTACAGTTCACCAGATAACTTGACACAGTTCATTATTTAGAAGCTCACTTTTCCAAAGCAAAAGACAAAGACAGAGGCTTTAGATTAATAGAATATTTTATTCAGAGGAACAAAAACAACATAGCGATGTTCGCGTCTAAATCAGTAAATAACATCCGAGGGGGCAAAAAGGAACTTCATCCTTAGACCGGGAATGAATGACAGGGAAGAGGAGCTGGAGGAAGAAAACAAGAGACAATAATTAGATACAGAAGGATCAACATTAACATGGTTTATAGAGTCTGTCTACACTGGATCTTTCACTGCATATGATCTGTTGTTCCTAATGTTTCTGTGAGTACTATGTTTTATAAAAGCTGCTGACACACTCCTGTGAGTCGGCGACAAACTTCTGTATTTCTAATGGTACTTTGTGGTCCTGAAGAAACAATGTTTGATCTCAGTTTAAAATTACAACAATTAAAGGATATGATAAGCTTTTATTGATCCGCAGAGGAGAGAAATAAGTACAGACAAATAGGTAAAGTAAAATAATAATAATAATTAGAGGTATGTAAAGCTAATACAAAAAAGAAGTATCATAATTCTTTCCCTTATTTTCTGTCATATATCTATCTATATCTATATATCTATATATCTATATCTATATAATGTGATGTGAACAGTGTAACATCAACATAATGGGAGTATAATAATAGTGTGAGATATAAGAGTAAAAGGTGACACACAGTAATATATTATAACATAGAATATAGCGACAGTGATACATATAACAGAATATAGAAATTTGTCCAACAGAAATGCTTCTCAGATGTTATCAAACCCGTGAAGAGACTTACAGTTGGTTTTACTCCCCAGAGGGCCGCACACTCTCAAAGATGCCAGCTTCCCGCATGGCGTTGAACTCTTTGGTGGCATCGTACTGCTTGTAGAAGTCAGCGTAGGCCTGTTTCCTGGGCTCCGTCACTCCGTACTGTGGCAGAAATAAAAGGTGTCTGTTTTATTCGTGATTTAAATCAAAATCTAAAAGAATGGCAACTGTTATCAGAGAAATAAATCTCCCGAGTTGAACTGACACCACACTGAATAGATTAGATAAGATTTAGTTGTTTAATTCTAAATGTCTGCTGAAGTATAAGTTGATCGAGGTGCTGATGTTGTTCCCATCATTGTGTCTATTAGAGGCTGTGTCCACCAAAGCATTATATTTTCCTAATGCTTTACAATGGGAGCATTGTGTACTTGCACTGCGCTAAAAATCACTGGCAGCGTGACGAGGCATTGGCCATGAATTCTGTGCTGAGCACTGCCATTTGGGCTTTTTTCCCCCTGAGAGCAGAGAGTTCAAAAATGTGTTAAACTTTGGGTAAAAACGCTGCGCTCATTATTGTCACTACGGCCATTCAGAGGAGGAGCAAATACCACAAAGACAAACCGCGACATTTTACACGACATGTACAAGCGCTGAGAAATCTGTCAATATTCTGTATTTATACTATGTTTCCTCTCATGAACCTAAATAGACCAACGGCTCTGTCTTCTCTCCCTGCATTCTTCAATGCTCCCCTCATCCAAAGCAAGTTCTCTACTTTGGGCCGACATGTTAACTTCCACGGATATTATGTATAACAACAATCAGACAGAACCAAAGCTTCTCAGCTGAACAAATGCTGCACCTTCAGCACTCTCAAACTCTACAGTCTGACGTTTGCAGCTGGGGAAAAAAACGCTTTGGTGGACACGGGGCCGTAGGTGTCATTTAAAAACAAAAACAAGAAAAAAATCACAACTGCCTCATTGGAGTTAAAGGGATACTTTGCTGTTATACAACCAGGTCTGTGTCACCATCACAGTGTCACCATTTTAACATGGGGGGTCTATAAGGATCAACTGGCTTCTGGACCCAGTGGACATTCAAGAAAACAGTTTTTCTTACTTCAGTGCTGGCTTCATTTTTAAGCTACAGAGGTCACATGAAATGCACCACTTCGTGTTGTTGTGATGCGTTTTGACTGATTTTGGCTGGCAGACAGGCGGCAGGGAGCTCCGTTAGCTGGCAGTATGGGAGACATCTTAACATGGTTCATCTGCACACACCCACCACATCGCAATGACACAGACCTGGTTGAAAATCTGAAAAGTATCCCTTTAAGGTTGTAGACACGTGGCTGCTGTGTCTCCCACCCTCACCTTGAATGTGGCTGCAGCCACAAAGGACAGAGCGAAGGCAATGGGCAAATGAAACCTCAGACGCTTTCCCAGCAGCCCCCTCATCATAGGCTTTGGCAGAGACATGGTGGATCACCTGCAGGGGAGGAAAAAAGATAAAAACCAAGCTCAACTATTGGAGACAACTGTGCAGTCAATATGACACCATACATATCAAATACAAAATGACAGCAGTCACCGCAAACTGTATTTAAAGAGAGTAAAGGTAGTCAAACCCTTATTTGATTCTCATTCATTTCTATGTGGAACTGTGTGAGACGCATTCAGTTTTCAAATAAACGCAAAGGTTATGTGATATTGACCTTAGATAGTGTACCAGGTTACAGCAAATTGCTACTTCCTGCCTGCAGTCTGTGGGCAGGTTGGTAGAAATATAAAATAATAAGAAAGATAGGGTCAAAAGTTGTGAATGGCAGTTTTTTAAGATTTAGCTCAAACGATACGACAACATCCAGACAATTTCTGAGGCCAATACTGATATCAATATTTGTGAATTTTAAAAATCTCATAATGACATATCAGCTGATAGCTGACATATAGCATATAAACACATTACATGAACAAACAAGTCATGACATGAATATGAGCACACATACTAAGCAGGACATTTTACAATTGAAAAATAAACTTGTATTGTAATTTAGCATTTTCTGTACTGCAACTTGTCGTTTCCTCTCGGTAAACATTCACACTGATCGTGACATACCTGCAATAAACTCATATCAGCCTGTCTGATTTATGAGTCTTCCTTAAATACACAACATTTTCTCTTGTACATTAGAAAAAAGAAGCCCTGGAAATTAAGCAAATATCAACCTGGGGTAAATAGTAGATTTAAAAAAAGAACCTATTAATTAAAAGTGAGACATCTTTGAAAGTGCCACATCTTGAACACTTGGGTTTTGCAAAACTGAGGTAAAATGTTATGAACAACAGCAGTGTGGTTTACGAAATAACACAATTAACACAAGAAGGATGACTGTGATCCAGAACTGAGCTCATTACGCCTTTAATATGCATCCTGCAGGAGCACACGCTCAGTAACGTTATTCTTAACATACTAAGGTTAAGTATGTTGATATATCGTACAATTGATAACACAGGAAAGTCAACAACATAATAGTTGAAGTGGTGCCTGAATAATGTGTGTGAAGCATGAAGAGACTTCAACCTACAATTCACTTTGCAACCATGTTTGGTTAAAAAAAATGAACACTGTAATTTTGTATAAAATATCTAAATGTCCCACCTGAGTTTAGTTACACAAGTGAATGTCTCGTCATGCGCGGTTATTATTTTCATATTACTGATGATTTTTTTGCCAAGATCACACTGAATTAAAAATAACCAATATTGAGATTCCACTTGTGACAGATGCAGCCTCTCACCCACCTGTCAGATATTAAATGGTAATTCAGCCAGATCCTATGACGGCTATTTTTGACGGAGTAGAGACAACAATAATTATCTTTCTCAAACTAAATCCAAAATGGACTGCTGTGGGAGATGATGCAACATCTCAAAATTGTGAAATCGAGATTCGCAGAACGTGGATTCTCTGATAACTTAGAATTTATGGCTTTCATTAGAGCTAAGCTTTAAGTTAAACCCCCATCTTCCTGAATGTAACTAAGTCACATTTATTTAATATTATCTTCTATGTTTCCTGTCTTTGTAGCCCATCACAGCGAGACAAGCCATGGGCCTTTGTTTAGTGTTTGTTAATATGTCCATGTGTGTTTTTCTGTTTCATTATTATTTTCTTTTTATATTGTTGTGTGGCTGTTCTGTTAAACAAAACAGATATTGTTGGCTGATTCTGATGCAAATACCAACATCTCCAGTTGTTTTCTACAGCAGTTGTGACTGCAGGAGAGATAATAACTGAGATGCAAAATGAACATATAAAACGATGTTAATCCAGACATCACCTCGTTACAGCTTTTATCTGCACTCTGCAATGGTACACACACAGTGGAGTTATGCATAATCATGAAATATTGTTTAAATTGGATATAAAACTAAATTCCAGTAGCCAAAACATCACATACTTATGGATACTGAGTTACTGCACTGAAAATATCTGACACTACAGTTTTTCTGTGATATAGCCTGCAGCCAAACAGCACAAAGGTCAATTATCTTCACCCACCTCGAAGTGAATCGGCTTGTTATCAAAAATGCTGGCATTAATGTTAACTTCTTATTTTCTTCTGACATCCAGAGGACAGTGTAACACACACATGTCCTCTTAGTGAGCAAATATTAATGATGGTGGACATAATTAATCAGTGTGTCCCCTGCAGACAGGTCGCCATCAGACACTGCTGCTAAGTCATGTCAGCACTCAAACTATCGGGTGACCTCTCTGTGTGACAGCAACGTTACTTCCGGGAACATAACTCCTGTATCACGATGCAGTTTCACACGTTATGTACGAAAATGATCGAGGACCTTAAGCTGTGTTTAAGCACATATTAACAGAAAATAGAGTCGGTGCAGTGCTAACAGTTGTAGCATGGTTAGGGTCAAATTAGCATGATGTCAATAAATGTTTCCTCCATTCGTTTTATGATAGATTATATCCGTAACAAACAATAACTAAACACTATAACTAATATACCACAGATGTAACCTAAATGTATGTATTAAATTAAAATGGTGAGCCTACGGTTAGCATGTAGCTATTGTCGGATATCGGCAGCACGATGAGCTAACACTAGCTCGACACAGCTAACTGCTAACCAAAGGAAAGCGGCAAAATTCAGGAACAATGGTTCAACACGGATGTCGTAATTAATATGAAAAGCAATACGATATAATCTTAAACCAACGCACACAATAAACTATCTTAATTCAAAAGAATACTCACAGGTTGGACTCGCGACCTTCACACAAACCGCTAACAGCTCTTCAGTACCGGAAAAGACACTCTGTACAGTAGCCGCGAAGGGACAAAATTAATATACCGTGAAACGCGAATGCAGGGCATGTGAGGTCAAGGAAACTGAAGACGAGGCTGCATTCACGTAGTCAAGTTACTGTGCATTAAATAAATGTTCTTGCGATGTACATTATCAACATATTTATGGGCGGTGGAAAATGTACTCTGATATTTTAGGCTACTTGAGTAAAAGTAGTGATAGATTATTGTAAAAAAAAAAAATACTGTGTTACAAAAACCCTGCACTCAAAATCTTATTTAAGTAAAAGTACAAAAGTATTAGCGTCAAAATATACTTGAAGTATGAAACATATTTAACATCATATTATGTTATTGGATTACAGTGATTTATGCATGGATGTGTTCATCACTTTAATGTTGCAGCAGGTGAAGATGGAGCTTATTTTATTTTATATACTGCTGAGTAGCTTGTGATTTCCCCCCCGAGGATCATCTAAATCTTTACAGCTTACATGATTTTTTTGTTGATCATATTTTGTATTATTGGTCTGCAAAGTAAGTTGTCAGACAAATGTAGTGAAGTAAGATGTACAATATGTACAAGTACAGAGCAGCATAAATGGAAATACTCAATTAAAGTACCAAGTACCCCAAAATTGTACTTAAATGCAGTCTTTAAGTAAATGTACTTTACAAAAAAAACTTTCCACCACTGCATTGTCTACACACACATCATTTAGTTGCCCTGTTAAAAATAAAATGCTGCTGTCACCCAATAGTATGTCACCTGTAAACTCAACATGTTGTAATGACACAGTTTGGCCACAAGAGGGAGGCAGAGCAACACTGAACTCACATGGGCGATATTATAACCACACAATTTCTGTGTGCAACTTTATATACCAAACACTGTATTTCAACTGTGAATGTACTATATGATGAAAGCAGAAAGAAATATTATATGAAACACACAAGTTATAGACCTACAGATTCCAAAAGACAAAATGCCATCAGTAAAACTTTTATTAGGATATTTTGTCTTCTGTATTTGTCTTTTTTGATCAGTTGAGAGATGGAGAAACAGAGACACATCACAACACTCAGACTGGCTTTATTAACATGGTTTATTTTACAAAATATTGCAGACTGTGTTCAGTTGATGGGACAAGCTTTGCTACACATACAGAGAAAATAAAACAGTTTAAACCTGAAAAAGTAAAATATGTAAATGTTCGCAGTATCTTGAAACAATGAGAGCGAAGATGAAACTCCACCTATTCCAAACTTCACCTCCTTCTGTTCCATAAAGTGCATTTAATGAGGTGAAGTATGAACCTCTTTATTCTGACAAAGAAACATCTTATAGATTCATATACAAACTGTACTGATGATAATATTAAAAGGAGAATGCTGCAGGAAAATAACCAATCACAACCAATAACCAATTGTCACACAAGAATTTCAGCTTCTCAGGGAACAAATACAGGCAGCTCTGTCCATCTTATCCACAGTGAGTGTTAAAGATTATCTAAATGTTTTGTTTTTAAATATCATGAACCCCAAATATTGCTGTCTCCACCTCAAAGAGCAATATGCTGTTAGTCGAGCTCCAGGGGAAAATCAATCCCACTGAACATCTGAAACGTAACAGGTGAGCAAATGTGTTAATTCACTCACACCACAGGCTTTCTGAAAGCTAATCTGAACAAATAACTGGGCAGTGTTGTTTTTAGTCTACATGTCAGTCTAATGTCAGTCCACGACTTTGATCAAGACTAAAATATCTGAACAACTATTTGATGTAATGTCATAAAACTGTGTACAGACATTCATGTTCTTCAGAGGATGAGTCCTCCTGACTGCAGTGATCCTCTGTTGTTTACTGTAGCTCCACCTGCAGGTTGAAATTTATGGTTTTGAGTGAAGTATTTTGACAACTATTGAATGGGCTGCCACAAATGCCCCAAGGAACAGCACCAGGCTTTGAAGCCAATTTCACAGGGTGGCCAAACTTTGTAATTACAACTTCCGGGTCCCTCACGTGATACCAATGGGACAACAAGACTGCTATCCCATAGACTTACATTATCAAAGACAAACTGAGCATTACAAGCCAAACAAAATAACTCGTTTCACAATCAGGATTTGGTCCATTTGATCCAAAACCATTTCCAAAGTCTAGAAGAGCTGCATGATTATTACACTTGGAAACATGTCGAACTTTTTGGCTTCATGAGGCACTGAGCAGCTTTCACAGGAATGAATGGGGCCTCACCTCCAATGCTATATCCAGTTCTCTTTATAGATCCATGTGCACACATTCATGTTCCCCTCAGGATGAACTGTACCAACCTCTATTGCCATCATCAGGTAGATCTTTAAATTTGTTCAGATCTGTTAAACAGAGTGCTGCAGGGATGTTTTTTTATGTAGGCCAATGCCAAAGTTGGTTCCCTCGTCAAAAAGTCAATTGGATTATTACTCAAAATTAGCTCTGTGGTTAACAAAAATCTTCACAAATAAACACTTCTCAGATTTCTGAAGGGTAAATGCAATCAACAGAGGTAAAAAGCTAACATTAGGCTATAAATGAACTACACTACGGTCACATGACTTAACATCACCACCACAACGTGGCTGTAAAGCCGTGTTTGGAGTGTAGTCTCATTTAGCAACCTGTTAGCAACCACCTTTTTAAAGACATTAAATTGCAAATGAGGGAACCATGAGTGCTTAAATGCTAACACATTTCCAGGTTTTAGGACTCACTCCTGCAGCACTCTATACTTGGTTCTGTGACCAAATACCTGCAGTACATTCCCATCAGCTTCAGCTGTACTTTGTGTTTAGTGCTAATTAGCAAACGTTAGCATGCTGACATGCTAAATAAGATGGTGAATATGTTAAACATTATACCTGCTAAAGATCAGCATGATAGCTCTGTCATTATATGTTAACATGCTAATGTTAGCATTTAGCGCAAAGCAGTGCTGTTCCTAAAAACAGGCTCATGGAGCTGCTAGCATGGCTGCAGAACCATGGGAGATATTTATTATGCATTATTTTTTTGCAGTATTTATTGTCAATCACAGCACCATAAAGTGTGCATTCAAAAACATGCCAGACTCTATCTGCTGCACTGTCGTCACTGACACCTTTCATGCTAAATGTGTTAGCACAGAGAGTAGAAGCAGAATACTGGATGAGTCTACAGTTGTTCTGCCTCCACTGACACAATGTATTACTGCTTCAACATAAAAATCAATAATGTTGAAGTAATTTTTGACTGTTAGCTTTGTCAGACAGTAAATATTTGTGCTATGCTCCTGATTCTTCATTTTTTTTTCCCATAAAGAATGAAGAATGTCTGACTGACTGACTGTCACTCACTTCTTTGAATGTCAAACACACTCAGACACATCCAGTCCAGTTTTTACTGTGGTGCGGATAATCTAAACCTTCACTGCTGATGATATGTGAGCTATAATGTGACCAAAAAATAGGAGATCCATCGATTTGTTATCCCAGTTATCTGTTGTACACAGTGATTTAATTATCTGGGGTTGTAACAGGTGTGTGTCTGTATCATATGCCAGGAGTGTCACAGGTGTGTGTGAGGCTGAAAAACAGCCCGGATGATAACAAGGACAGTGTCAAGTTCTGTAACTCATTTCATGTGTGTATGAGCCATGAGAGTGAGACTGTGTGACTCTAACGAGAAACATGGAAACAGTCAGGTTGTTTAGATTAGGAAGATAATTAAAGCAACATTTCTCTGCTTCACAATCTGGACTCACACAGACTGTGGTTTGATTTCTGTTGTTTGATTCATTCTTTCTTTCTTTGATCATCGTGCAGACTCCGTCCAACATGAAACAACTGAATGAAACTCAGTTTGGACTCTTGTAGCATGTCCATTTCTTTCCTCCTCAATTGTTTCCTTCCTTCAATGATCAGATAAACAAAGTAGAAGCTGCAGGATGTCGATCAAGGTTGAAAGTGTTGTCTTGTCCAACCTCTGGTACAAAAATGTGGTAAATGATCCATCAAAAACGATCCAGTCTGCTGGCTGTTGCTGTCTCTTTTCCGATACAATGATCAAAATCAAAATGTCTCTCCAGCTGCGTTTGTCATAGTTGGTCGTCCTTCAATTATTCATCAGTTTCAATTTATTATATACAAGTCTGTTTCATTACCAGTATACACAGTGAAGGGGAAACTGAGCTGCCATTTGTCCACTTGGCATCTCAAACATCCACAAACCACAAGAGAGACTCAATCAGATTCTTTTTCTGAGGCTGAAGGGATTCAAACACCACGTTCAACTTCACCTCATGTAAAAATGTAGATAAATGCACATGTAAGCTAAGTTCATATAAGCATCTCTGGTTCCATTCGCTGCACATCATCTGCATCTGTAACCCCACGCTGACAGAAAACATTACTGGACCCTGAAGCTCTGACGCTTGTCACCATGCACCACTTCCTCTTCTTCACTTCACCTCTGTGTTTGTCTGATAACCCCTCCTCATGATCACCATATCTGCTTCACTGTCTGGTTGTTTTGACCCAAATTTAAACTGGTCTTGGCATTCTGTTTGAGTCTGTGGATGATACCATGTCTTATCATAAAAGTCTGTACCATGAAGCTGCCAGTATGCTCCAGCACTGCTTATGGGGTAGTTAAGCAGTTTCAGAAACCCCCTCCACACACCTTTCTGACATCATAATTGGGATGGTGGGCTGCATCCAACAATCCGACATTCCCACCTGCTTTACACAGTGATTGGTCAGCTGTGTGGAGGTGAGAGAGGAGCCAGGGTTTGAACTTTTCTCTCATGCTCTCTTTTGGCACTCTGACGAAGCATTTTCTGTCTTTTTAAATATGTACAAATAAAAGCAGCACCATAAATGTCTTCAATGAATGAACTTTTCTTGCATCATGGATCCAGGTTAGTTATGAACATAAAACAATATATCCAGCAAGTATTTCATGAAGGTGGGGCTGAGAGGTTTTAACATCATGGCTGTAAATGTGAGGAAAGGCAGGGCTGTACCACGGTGGAGCTGAGGGGTGCTGAGACGAAAAGTACCAAGAAGGCATGTTGGAGAGTGTTGGCAGGTGTAGGGTCGTACCACCATGATACTGGAAGGTCTTAAGGCTGAGGGTCGTACCATCACAAAGTTGCAGGGGTGCTGTTAGAAGTCATAGGGTCGTACCATCATGGAGGTGGAGCGCAAGGAGTAGCTGGGGCCTCTGAAGTGGTGCCACTTGATGCCGTTGAGCTTCCTGATGTTATGACCGACGGTGTAGTAAATACCGTTCAGGTTGGAGAAACCACAAGCGTCAAACCACCAACCTGATGGAGAGATAGAGAGAGAAAGAGATAGATAAATAAATAAATTAAATAAATTACCCCCCCCCCCCTCCCACTAATGCACTCAGTGTTTAGTCTAAATCTGCACACAAATAGAGATATTGCATAAACACAAAAATGGAACAAGTGATATAACAGAGGTCAAAAAAAGAGACCAGTTATTTTGTCAGTTTTACAAAGATGAAATATTTGATGAAAGATTTGTTATTATTGGTAAGTTTGGGTTCATTCTTCATGGTTAAAACTTGGATTTTTCCTGGATGGAATACTAAAATGTGTTTGTCTTTCTTCTTTCCTATCTTTATGTTTTGGTCAAACACTTTCATTCTCTCCTGATCTTTTCTTATCGTCTCCCTTTGTTGTTCCCTTTTCATCTCTGCCACTCTGTCTTTTCTCTTTCTCTGTAAATTGCGGTGATTTTAAATGACTCACTGATCAAGGGTGACCGCAGGAGTCTTTTCCTCAGAGAGTTTGAGGTTTTGCTGGAACGATTAAGCTAATCATCAATTGCGGTCCATTGAGGGGAGGCTGAAGACTAAAGAGCTGTTTGTGTTGGCGTTGACACGAGGTGAGCGGCACTGAGGGGTGACGCAGACAGATGTTTGCCTTTAGGAAAATATTTGGATCCTCAAACAAAATATGTATTTTTGGACTCATCCAGTATTTTTCTTATTTGGTGAGATTTATGACAGAGAAATTACTGAGTGACTGTTTAATAATCTTTTATTAGACAAATCAAACTGTTTTCATCATTGTGGTTTCATTCTTTGAAATGAATAACATATTTACTAACTGTGTTTATCTTTCTTTGTGAACATCTTTAAGTCATAAACTGTTTTATGTGATTAATTAGATTTTCAAATGTGTTTGACCTGATGGATGGTTGTAACCAACAAAGCTCAGAGGACATGCGAGGAGAGGCGTTACCTCCAGTGAGCATCAGGGCACATTTGCAGTGGTCACAATTATCGTTGTCCTGGTCTCGGGTGCTGAAGCCGGTCCCATGGGTGGCCAGGCTGCTCTGCCTCCCCGCTGTGCCGCTGTAACCTCTCAGGTACAACCTGAGTGACAAGAGACAAGGTGATCAGTCAGCTGGCTGATCAATGAAATGACCACTTTAGGACAGTATGCATGTATAACATGTATATGTGTGAGTTAATGCATGTGCAGTTTTAACATAGATCAGATAGAGCTTTATCACAAGGGAAACTGTTGTGCAGCAGTTGAAATACAAAGGGAAGAGATAAATTACTTTATTAATCACAGCAGGACAGTTTACTGTTACAGCATCTTAACACAAAAAACAAACAAACAAACAAAAACAAAGATCATAAGCAAAAAAACACTATATAATACTTATCAGCAATAACTTCAAAGAAGTGGGAATATTTTCTGTACATACAGACATACATACAGTGTGAGGTGGACATGGTGCAAGTACTGCAAAATTAAATGCAGCACATCCCCAAATAAATTAAAGTATATTGCAAAGAAAAATAATTAATAATAATAAAGAATGTGTAAAGTCTGTATATTTATGTTTGCATGTGTTAAGTTATCAATACAAGAAGAGCTGTGATCATGATCAGTTGATCAGTGGCAACATGACAAAGAGCTGAAGGCGTCAAGCTCACATCCAAATTCCCCAAATCCCAATCTGATCAAGCGTCTGTGAGATGTGCCGGTACCCCAAAGGTCCTGTGTCCATGCCTTCACAGGTCAGAGCCAAGTTCGATCCATGGCAGAGCGTCCTTGGGGTGTCCTGTGGTGTCTGGCACCAAGGAATTGGTGACGGATCCTTTGAGTCCTGTGGGTTGTGAAGTGGGGTACCGACACGTGTCATGGGTGCTCGATGAGATTAGGATCTGGAGAATTTAGAAGCGTGAAGTTCTTTGTCACATTCCATGGGCCATTCTTGAGCAGTTTTTGGGTCGTGGCATGGTGCACTGAGCTGCTGGGGGAGTCACTGCAACCTGGGAGTGCTGTTGCCATGAGGGGGCGTATATAGCCTGTAACAGAGTTTGGGTGGGTGGGGCATGTCAAATGGCATCCATATGATTGCCAGGACCCAAAGTTTCCCAGGAGGACATTGCATGTTAACGAGATAACTAATGTATTCACTTCACCTGTCAGTGGATGTCAGTGTTGCGGCCACTGGGTTTATACGTGTGTGTGTATGTGTTAGTTACCTGTACTGCTGCCTCTCACTGGTCAGTGTGAATCGGTCGTACTGGGAGTGGGCGGGGTTTCCCTCCCAGTCCCTCAGCTCCACTCTCATAGAGTACTGACCCTGACTGGTCAGCAGGTACATCACTTCATTACCCAGCCAGTGTTCTCCAAACACGTCGCCGAAACCCTGCAGCAGGGGAGGAGGAGGTGGAGTTTAATTACAAACAGGATTTTTACTGACATTTATTTGGATTTTATAGCTCTCGTGTCTTTGACTGCCATGAAATCTGCTCTATAAAATAAATGTATTATTGTAATTTATTATTCATGAGACAAACAAACCATTTTGTATTCTCTCCAGCTCCTCTGGAAATCTACGCTGCCGTTAAATCTCCGCTGGAACACTGTCCAGCCTCCACCGTTTGTCTCCATGTCACAGAACACCTTGAAGAGAAGAATAATAAAGTTTTGACACTTTGAATTCAACCTGGAACTTGTCACAGTGTTGGAGTACAATCTAATAATGTACAGTACCAGTCAAAAGTTTGGACACACTTTTTCATTCAAGTTAATGGGAAAGTGTGTCCAAACTTTTGACTGGTACTGTATATTAGATCAAAATCAACTTAAAACTCATTTGTTAGATTAAAACAAATGGCCACAGCACAGCATCAGTTCTTTGTCTTAATCATCAACAGTCTAAGTCACTTAATAAGATAACTGAAAGATATTATCTTAGTGAAGCACCTGCAGCTTGTTCGAACTGATATTTATAAATAGTTAAACACACTAGAAACACATTATAACAGAAAAATGAAGCTCCTGAAGACTCACTGTGTTATATTACTCACCATGTTACATACCAAGGGCTCCACTTACCTAAAACATTCTTAAATGTACAATAATTTATTTTAATTTGGTGCCATCGATCATTTTTATAAGGACAGGTACATTTTTGAAAGAGTGGATACTCTTAATGTACAGCTGGTTAAAATCTGGTCTCTGTCTCAGTTTCACAGAGTTGTGCCTCCAGTGAGGAATCAGCTGCCTGACTCTGCTGACTGTGTTCATAATAATTAGTTAATAATCTACATTTCTCTGCAGATGTTCAGAGGAGCCACTGCCAACACTCTGCCAAGCTGGCAGTGAGAGAGAGCGGCCACTTTCACATCCAACACAAAAACTCTACTTTTACCAGTAATACACGGAAACTGAACGAACTACAACTTTATTACTGCAACACTTAAAATATTAATGTTGTTATGAGACGAGATATCATCCGTGATCATACTGTCAGGAAGCCATTGTTGAACAAGGCAGAGGTTCAGATGTTCGTCTTACCTGCACAGGTTCAGTCCTGTTGCTGATGTAGATGTTATACAGACCGCTGACAGAGTGACCGGCCTTGTAAGCATCTGCACAGTCTCTCCACTTCTGGTCCCTGGGCGGTGACCCTGAACACATTGTTGCTCATTACACAGATATTCAGTGTGTTTTTTATGAGCTTGTCCATACGTGCGTGTGTGTGTGTGTGTGTGTGTGTGTGTGTGTGTGTTTACCTGTGCTACTAGCCACCATGTTAATAAGTGTGTGGACAGACTCCATCAGCTGAGCCTGCTGCCTCTGCAGAGCCGTGTTGTTGCTGCTGGCGACTCTCAGCTGCCTCTCTAAAGACTCGATGGCCGCCATCTGAGTCCTGACGACAGACTGGAGACAAAGATTATCTCCTGTTTAATCACTCTGTACTGTCAGTGTGGACTTATGTGCTGTTTCTTTCATTTGTTTGTTCATCCATTCTTTAGGGGTGGGGTTTTGATTCTTCTTCTTTTTTTCATTTTAAAGATTTTACGTTTTGTTTGATTGATATTCTTTATGTTTATGTCAGCTAGCTGAGACCTGAGCAGTAAAAAAAACTGTAAAACTTGACTTCTGCACATTTACGTCTACACAGTGCACATTTATGAGGTCAGACACTTGGTCGTCATGTTGAACACAGAGAGCTCCGCCTCATAAAGGTAAACATGCTCTGACTGACTTACATAAAATGTCCCCAAAGCATTCCTGATGATATTAAAAGTAATACATACACAGACACCTGTCCAAACACACATCTGCTGATGAAGTTGCTTCACTGTACAACACATTTTTGACGTACCTGCAATCTGTTCTTCTCCTCCTTCATGTCCTCCAGCTCTCCTTTCTGCTTAGACTCCAACATCTGAACTTTACTCTCCAAACGACTGGAAGACAAAGAGAGAAAACACATAACTGTAGACAACTGATTGTAAACCACATAAACTCATAATGCGCCTGTCTGTTTGGTGTCAGGGGGCATTTGTTCTCACAGATATCTGGCTGAAGGTATCAGCATTTTTATGACATCAAGATATCCCCAAAAAAGCTACAGAGGAGTTTTATGTTTTAATGATAAAACCAACACGTTCTTTATATGTTGTTTCAGCACCCCTAGGGACAGAACAAGAGTGTTTGTCTGTGGGTGAAGAGTCACCTACCAGCCCCTGAAGGTCTAACTGCAGTGATGTACAGGTGTACTTCAGGACACTGTGAATTCACTGTTGGGTGTCGTTACAGGTGCAACACTTCTGACCCAACTACAGAGGTCAAAGGTGAAACAGGCATGAAACAACCATAAAGGCAGCAAACACAGCTTTTTATCCTAATGTTAAGTTACTCTTTAAGGCACACGGGTGCATGTGGGTGACAGGATACACATTTCTGCCAATGCTGTCACAGTGGTCCAGTGGTAAATAGGTGGTGGTAACATGCTGATTTTGCAGCAATGCATCAACAAAGACAGGAGGAAGACTGCTTGCTTGTAAACATGGACATAAACTTTTCTGTCTGTCAGTGTGTCGTGTACTTCTGGGAATGTCTCGGTCTACAGATGTAGCTGCAGAGGCAGCTGCTGACCCTGACCCACAGTGAGTGTGAGTGAGATGGAGGCAGCTACCTGGAGGAAGAGAGGCTTTGCCCAGTCAGGCTCGGAGATTAGCTACTGATTAGAAGTGGTGAATTTACAGCAAGTTAAGACGATACAGTCTCTGGCTTTTGTTTGATATATAGTGTTGCCAAAAAATAACGTTGCACATTTCTGACCCACCGTAATCATAATAAGCTTGTTTACAATATTACTGTTCAAACATTTATATGCAACTATACTATATTTATCATTCATACTGGTAACCTGTTTGTGTTATTGTATATGATGTGTATCATGGTTTGTTACTTTCTGTTTGCACCTCACTGTTAACTGTTTTTGTTATATTTTGAACCTCACTGTTAGCTAGGTTTCATATTGTTATCTAGGTTTATATTTAGTTTATATTTCCTATATAATAGATTGTATATTTGCTATACATTTGCTTTTTCTTCTATGCTATTTCAGTCCTTGTATTTTGCATGCTTATCTGCACTGGTCTAACTTTGTATTGCAACTGCTGCACAGCAATTTCCCTCGAGATAAATCAAGTTTTATCTTATCTTATCTTATGTAATTGTCACACTGAACATCCCACTTAACCCTGTCCAAACGGTCTCGACTCTAATTTAAGTCATAGAACAAAGCATGATAAACTTGTGTTAACCACAGACCTTATTTCAGGCATCAAACCTAAAACTCTTTGACTTTGAGACAAGGGAACTGAAACTGCTAAAATGCTAATTCATCTCTTGGTTTTAGGACTTATTCCCGCTGCATTCTATTACTGCAGCTGTTTGAGGGCTCTTTCACTTTACCATAAATACTTGTATATACTGTTTTGGGACACTTGCTGAAACAAGTAATGTTTTTTTTTCTTGGAGGAAAGTCTCAATTAAATGAGATTTTATTTAAAGTTTTTCTTCAGCAAAGAGAAAAGCTTTTTTTTGAGCTTCAAGTCTGATGTTCACCAATCAGTCAGATTAGAAAGAGATTATGGAAGAGGCAGAGATACTCCAAAGAGGCCACAGCTACTACACTGCTTTCCTACATGCAACAGACAGATATCACTGTAACAGCTGTAAAAAGGCACTTCAGAAAAATGTAGGAAATAACTAAATTAAGACGAGGAGGCAGGTTGAGGGAAAGTGTCATATTAACATCAGAATGTTTGTGTGTATGCCAGCAGGAGGATAGAAATCCAAACTATTTGTACTACAAATCTGTCTGTGATGGAGCAGAGGTTCTAACTCCTGAGTTACTCCCTCTTGCTCGAGGAGCCGTAAAACAGTGAAATAAAGATTAATAACCTGACCATCATTCTTTCTGCCAGAGTAGACTGCAGAGCGCTTTATCTCTGCAGCTGAACCAGCAGAACAGCTGCTGAAAATAGACTCCAGCTCACAGTTAGATCAACAACATAGGGGCCAAATGAATGAAACCTGATGAAGGAGTGGCAGCGGCTCCAGGGGGAAACATGGGACACTGAGAGTGGCCGAATGTCCAGTCCACACTCTTTTTTTTTCCTGGTTCAGAGTGCAGAGAACAGAAGGTGTGGTGGGGCGTCTGCAGGAGTCGGGTGGGAAAATGTGTCTTCTTCTCTAATGTTTCTAAGAGTAACATGTTTGATACTAATATCTGCAGGAGGCCAACTGTATGAGTAAGCTCATCATCCTGTAAATACAATTAAACTCAGAGTGGTTTACATTGATGCTCACGGACTAAATGTCCCGCTGCATCCACAAGATTCCCACTGCAAGAAGACATTGATTACTGTAGTTTACTGAAGTAAATCAAGTCCCTAAAGGACAAGCTAAACTCTTTTGTTTGGAGAAAAATGTGCCATGCTAGCAGCTCTGTGAGGCTGAACTGAACTTTGGGCAAAATGTTAAAGGTGAACTTTGGTATTTCTGAGCCTAGACTTTACTTTCCCAATTTACGTCCAGTATAAGCACTTGTTTTTGCCACTGACAGGCTCAAATTGCTCAAATTGAAAATGTCTGACAACATTATGGAAGGGACGCGACAGAGAAAGGTGCAGTCTTGTTCCAAAATCTTGTGTTGTGTTGTTGAGAAGTGACTTGTTGTAGGATGGAAACAGTGGAAACATTAGTGAGAGTTGAAAAGAGTAGTGTCGATAATGGTTTGTTGTGTTGGCGTACAGAAAGAATATCTTACTCTTATGTAATAGATGTCAGTGTCATGGCTGAATATTAAGCCGATGTTGACAATGCAGACAAGTTCACAAGATTTCAGAATGAGACTTCTCCTTGAGCAAGACTTGGTCACACACACACACTGACAAACAGATGAAAAGGTGCAGAAAAATGTTTCATTTCCAATAGAAAATTTCAGTTTCAGTAGACATAAATTGACAGGGCACAATAAAACAGGGTTACATTAGAACCTGTTTCACTTCTGCAGCTGCAGCCATCTTTCTCAACACTAGAAAAATATTTAAACACACACACCAACAGACCACAGACCCGTGCCATCTACAATGTCACTCTATTAAAAGGTACATTATTGTGACCTCCTCCATCATTGCCATGCTTGTTGTTGTGTGAAACTTTTGAATCTGCCCTCCAGTGCAATATACTGGATGTATCTATGCTATCATAAATGACACATGGAGGTATGAGGGCAGTGACATTTGCAGTGATTGAAATGGGCATATCTGTTTTCGAACATAAAGGGAGTATAAATAAGCCCTTCATTTAGCAAATTAGCACGCTCATACTAGCCAATTAGCACTGAAAATCTAAGTTGAGCCGAGACTGAGGGGAATGTCATTAATTCTGCAGGTGCTAGATGAGAGGATCACCAAAGTCATATAAGTTCATCCTGAGGGGAACATGAGGGTCTGAACCAAATTTTGTTGATATATTTCACTCAGAACCAAAAATGTCAACCTCATGCAGGCGTTAAAATCAGGAGATCAACATTGTCAGCAGGATTCTTCCTCTGAAGACCTTAAACCACTGCACAAACATTCATCTTATCCATCAAAGAGAGACATATTTCAGTCTGGACCAAAGTGGTGAACGCTACCTCTAACCATCTAAATACAGATATATAAATTCTCCTTAAATAAAATAAAAAGTTGAAAGCTGGTATCATTCACTTCAACAAACAATAAATACTTACTTTTAATTAATGGATATTTGAAATCAACCTTAAATCTTTCTTTAACCGATATAAAGATAAACTGATTTTAGGTTTCGTTGCTCTCCTGTAGTTCAGTAATATGTGAACATCAATACATTAACACCCCGACATGTAATGTGAGATCCATTAATATTATATCCGTAGCTTTTCTAACCAAACTGTACGAGCTGAAGTTGGTGTTGAAGTGTAGCTGACGAGAGTTTGACGTGGCCATCCATCACCACTCAGCTCTGTCACACCTGTGAGTGATATCATTTTACATCAGTAGGTGAGACTTTGGTCACATTAAAAGCTGAAACATATGATCAGCTCCTGAGTCTGATCACTTCAACATGGTGACCTGCACATGAACAAGGCAACATCATTTACTGTGATGGAGACTGATGGGGAGTCACTGATCGCTGCCGTGCTGCGGTTTCTACAGCATCTGTGTGTGTGTGTGTGTGTGCGTGTGCATGTTTGTTGATTAATGAGTTTGTCCCCGACTACATGCAGACTGTGAGTGTGTTGCAAGCTGATTGTAATAGACCTACACATTCTATCTTTAAGATGCAGGTCTGTTTATCTAAATTACTTCATGGGTATTGTCAGAAGTGTATGTTTTACTTTTACTACATGTACACAGTGTCTGCCTATACAGTCCTGTGACTGAAGCAGAACAGCGTTTATCTGGAGAAAATAACTTTAACTCTGCAAAGTCTTCTGAGAAGTTATGTTAATGTATTCGGATATGTTTTAATAGTAATGCTGAAACTGATTCACAACTGATTAGTTCTTTGGTTCGTAACAGAAGAACAATTTTAATGCAGTCTGGTAATTTTTTTTTTCTGTTTTCTTTTTTAAAAGCTAGATTCTTAGGTGAAAAATCTGACAGTCTTCATTATGTAGCGGGTCAGCGGTAAAAGGACCTGTTTCACCACATGAAATTCTGGTATTATGTTCAGAAAATAATCAGAACCAGCTCTCTGAGCAGCAGCACATTATTGTTTTGTTTGTTTGTTGCTAATATTTTCAGGTAGAAATGAATGTGCAGGAGCTATGGTACTGGAGAAGGATTAGTACCACCATGTTTTCAGAATTTTGACATCCACTCGATACCAAAGTATCAGTTCTCGACAGAAGTGGAACTGAACAGACGTTTATTTGATGTGGGCAGCATGAATTTAACTGAAGATGTGTCTGCACAGGTTGAGCAGGAAAATAACAAAAAACAAACATAATGTAGCTCAGACATACTTCTTCCACACACACACACACACAGCTGGAGCTTACATGGCTTGTTAGCAACTAAAAACATCTGTTCAACAAACACTGACTGCAAAACACTCCACATTAGTGTGAATAACGAGAGGCTAAATGTCTCCATACATCACTGAAAACCACAGTAACTGTTGTTAAACTGCTGTTCTACTGTACAAGAAAATATTTGACTGAGAGTTAATGAGGTATGTTTGTAGCCACAAAAACCTCAATAGAAACCATCTCATACACTGCTTCTTTCTTTCCCTCACACTCACACTCACACACACACACACACACACACACACACAGTGTTTCAGCCTCTCTGTTTGTATTATATCTGTTACTGTAAACAGAGAACACGCTTGATAATTACTCTGCATGTTTTACGGCTCAGCGCAGCGTCCAACTTCACCTCACCATGAAAAATAGTGAAAATATTGTGATTCCAAATATTGGCGTGTCTCGCAGCAACAGCTGTGGACGTATTTCCATCGTCTCTAATGACTTGCTTGTATTTCAAATACTCTCACTGGTATAGTTGTGAAATCTCTGATAAGGCTCTTGTCCCTTTTTTTTCTCCACTCGGGGTCGACTCATATTTAGGTCAAAGGAGAAGAAGATGTCAGTTCTAATGAGGTATTGCGACTGTTTTGTGGAGAAAACACGTCAGACACAAATAACTGTTTGAGGCAAAGTAATTTATATGTGTTAAAACATGTCTGGAGGGGATTTTTACCAATAGAGGCCATTTGTCAAATTTATTTAGCCTTTAAATGCTCTCAAGAGCTCAGATGTCTCTTAAATCAGTTACCAGTAACCTGTCAGAGTCTTTGATGGCTGCAGACACAGAGCAGAGCTTTGGACACATTATGAAATATACTGTATCACACTGGTCATCATTAACTGTGTGTTTTTCCTAAATATCTGGAGTTTTATTAATGTAGATAGAGAGGAATGGGGGATGGAGAGATAACAGGAAATGAGGTGATGACGATGGAACACTTGAACATGCCCAGATTATAACTCTGGACACCAACGCCTCAATGTCCAAACTCCATGAACTTATATTAACCTTTAACTTTTTTTTAAAAAAATTTTTGCATCCCTCAGGGGTGCCATTGTACAAGGAGGAAAGTTTTCTCTGATTCACTTCCTGGTCCCACAGCAGAATTTCCTCCCAGCTACAGTTTCATTTTATCATGATTACAATTGTAATTCATCCCTATTTATATATATATATACATAAATCTCTATTGTATATAGATCATCAATGTGCTCACATACGTCTTACTGAAGATATTAAAGATTTCACACAAACAAAAAATGTGTTTAAAAAAGTGAAGCAATTTGTTTTTTCAGGATAATGTACAGTATCACTGAAAGAGCAACATGGCAGATGTTTCTGGTTTTTCCTCTTTATGCATTAATAAAATCATGTGATCATATTAGAGCTGTTGTTAAAGGTTACTCTTACGCCTGATAATTAAATGATAATCAACTGTTGTTGGTTAATTCTCTCTCAATCAGCTTATTGTTGCAGCTTTGTAAATGGTTCCACACTGCCATCAGTTTATAATGCAATCACATGAAAAATGAGTGACTGATAAAATAACTGATTGAAAGGTAAAATGTTGCAGTGAAAAATAAAATGTCAGTAACATTATTATTATTATAAGACTTATTATTTTATTTCACTCAGAGCTGGCCTAAGCACACTGTACATAACACAGGTAAATTAATTCCTCAGTTATAAATGTGGCCTTCAGCTCTGTCTCATGACATTAAATATTAACAGACAAATGGACAATGATCTTTGATATGTAAAATATTAATGGTTCTGATTTTGAATTGGAATATTTGTAAACAGACTTATGTAAGAAAATAAAAAGAAGAGAAAGGAGGAGAAAGTTGTTTAATAAATGTGTTTTCTTCTCCACTTTTAGTGCCACTGTGGATCTAACCTGTGTGTTTGGTCCTCTGATACTTTTCCTGTTTTTATTTGTTCAGTTTTCAGATGAACACAATTGAAGTTACACGTGTAAGTGCATTGAGAGTAGTACTGAACCGAATGCTTAGAAGCTTAGATGGTTGCCATGGTAACAGATGTCAAAATCACTATTTGAATATTCTGTTTTCAATAAAGTGGGATCTGAATTTTATTACTCCAAAGTTGTCTCTTTAGAGCAGTGGTTCCAAACCGGTGGGCGCGACCCTCTTGATCCCTCAGGAAAAAGAGCATTAGCGCTTTAGCTGCTTTAGAGCATAATTGAGTGTCTCAGATCCGACAGGACAAATTTAGACTAAGGTCAAAACTTTTCTCTTCTACCTGTTCTTGTCTCGTAGCCGACTGATCTCAGAGGTCTGCAGTAGCAGCTCCTTCTCCAGCTTGTTGGTGGACAGAGAATTCTCCAGAAGCTGGATCTCTATTCGAGACGTGTGGTTCAGCACCTGGTGGAAAGATGTTAAAAATCAAATCCAGGAAATCTGCTTCCAGGTGAAGAGAGCAGGAGCGTGGCGACTTGTTGTTACCTTAGCTTCCACCACGTTGAGTTTGCGGGTCTGCTCAGCTGTGTGCGTGAGGATGTTGGTTCCGATCTCCAGCATGGTGGCCGTTTGATTGTGAACGACGTGTGATGGTATGCTGGTGACGTCCAGCTTCACACTCTTGTGAATGACGTTCTCCAGCTGAGGAAGAAAAAGACATAAATAACAGAAGGTAAAAGGGTCAGACAGAAGACAGACAATACAGAGAGGACATGACAGATAATAGAACAAAATGAGACAAGGTTGACATGTGACTTTGAGTTTGACTCATACCCTCATTAGTGAATACCACTTTGAAATGTGAGAAGTTCTTTGGAGTCGTTCCAGAAGCTCAGCACTGAAATCAATTCTGAGCACTACCACCAACTCAGTCAGAGCATCAAGTTCACCAAATCAAACACGTCAAGAGGTCTGGTATATAAAGACGCAGGTCTCTCCATCTCTGGGAATATCAACTGATGCCAACTCACACTGCCAAGCTGTGACCTTTAATTCCCAACAAATAAATAGTCCATCCATTAAACCAGCTCTTCATCCCTCAGACTCCACGTCTTCAGGATATCACTGCCACTGAGAAGCTTCAGGGAGTTGATAAATATATCACTGGACCAACAAACAGACTGGTCCCAGTGGGGACGGCCGGTTACCAACAAGGCTTCTGGCTGTTAGATGAGTCACTGGGAGAAGTTCAAACGACAACACCCAGTTTGAGTCAGGATCACTTTTATTAAATGAATCCCAGCACAGAACTTTATTCAGTCATTACACTCATTTTTATAATAGAAGTTTTCATTCATCACTTTATTTAACCAAGTGATCAGCATTGAGAGAATAAAATCATCACTGTGTCGTTAATACAGTTTGCTCTCTCCAAAGCAGACATGTAGCATGGTCTAAAACATGAATGTTTGAATGTATACCATTTTGAAAAGGGTAAGAAATCAGGAAGGCAATTTTGCGAAAAACACAATCAATAAAATCAGTTGAAATGTTCCAATATCAGAGTAGCTGTGAGCATATTTCACTGCATCAGATAAACTGCAGCTGGTCAAATTAAATCCTTTCTTTACTGATCTCTGCTGTGTTTAGTCCAGCTCAGCCTGCTCGTGTTGCAGCTCTTTTACCACAGCCTGGCTCTACAGTGAAACATTCAGCTGCATATCATTGGAAACTGCAGTGTGTAAAGGAGGAAAACAGTAAGTTTAGATAAGGCTTGGCAAAATTCACAGATCTGCTACGCTCCAACTCTGGGAGCTCTGGAGCAGGATGCAAAACATTCTTGTAGACAAGCAGGTTCTCATTTCCATATCAGCTGTTGCTAATTAATGTTACTTTTTTAGATCATTTTTGGGCTTTTTCCCTTTGTTGACAGTGCAGTTTGAGATTAGACTAGAGAGGTGGGAGAGAGAGGGTTGATGACATGCAGCAAAGGGCCACAGGTCGGAATCAAAAGCGGGCCTCTGCAGGGGCTTCAGTCTGTATGGCTTGCACACACTAACATGTGAGCTGTTTCTGACAGTGTGGTCAGAAACATGCACACCAGTAGCCTGCTGGACGTCATTCTGTAGGGCTCTGGCAGTGCTCCTCCTGTTCCTCCTCACACAAAGGAGCAGATACCGGTCCTGCTGCTGGGTTGATGCCCTTCTACGGCCCTGTCCAGCTCTCCTCATGTAACAGCCGGTCTCCTGGTATCTCCTCCATGCTCTTGAGACTGTGCTGGGAGACACAGCAAACCTTCTTGTGCCATCCTGGAGGAGCTGGACAACCTGTGCAACCTGATTGGGCTGCAGGTACGGCCTCATGCTACCAGTAGTGACAAGGACACTAGCAGAAGACCAAACTGGAGAAGAATCAGTCAGAAAGGATAAGGAGAGAGCAAAGTCTGTGGACACCACATGTAAAACCATTCCCTTTTTGGAGGTTGTCTTGCTTTTGCCTCTCCATTGCACCTGTTGTCACTTTGATTTGCACCAAAGCAGCTGAAACTGATTCACAATCACTTGTGCTTCCTAAATGGACACATTGATATCCCTGAAGTTCAACTTACTTGGTGTTATACTGTAACGATTAGGTGTTCCCTACATTTTTTTGACCAGGACCTTCAGTATTTGGATCAAGCAGCTTGTAAAACATAAAATGTGTCAGATTAAGTCCCTTTCAGTTGTTATTTGTATTCAACATTTTGGTGAATGTAAATATTGGATCAGACTCGGTCGACACCAAAATAGAGAAAATGTTTCGAAAATTATCATCTTCACAAAATTCATGTCTATCTCAAGTTATTCTATTCAGCAATTGTCAGATGCTGTATAAGCACACTCGCCAGCGAAAGTTAAAGCCAAGCCACCTCGCTATATTTGAGTTTTTTTCAGCGCTGTGTCTTTTTTTTCATTGCTTCTTCTTGAATGCGTGCTGCTTACAGTTTAGCACCTGGTTGCTACCTTTTATAAAGTCCCGACCTTACCTGAGTGCTGTGCACAGAAAGGGACGTCCAAAACACATCAAAAAAGGAAGAGAAAGAGAGAATACAGGCAGAGGGTAGAGTATCTGCAGATATAAGAGGGATTAATTCTGTATGAGTCTATGTGTTGTTGTTGTTTTTTTTAGTAAAGTTCTGCGTAGTATATCTTTAAGAAATCCTTCCAAAAACACCAATCACATGTTTCTTGACTTCAAATTTCAATTAACCATGTAAATTACTAAAGATATCCTGATTAACAGATTGACAAACTGACACACAGGACCAAAAAGTTCCTGAGTTTAGCTAATGTAAAATAAAAGTCTTAAAAAACCCACAAACTGTATTTCAATTTGGCTTAAATGTGTTTGTTATGACTGCTGAGGGCTGACAGCTGATTCATTTTTCTTAAGTGCTGACTAATCCTTCAGTTTCACCAATGCATACATGGTTTTATTCCTTTCAGCTGCTGATGTTATCCACACTGATTGACTTTATCACATTCATCATTCTTCATGTTACTCATTTTCACTATTAAAATTACTCATGTGTTATTATGTTTAGTCTGCTTCAATTCAGCTACAGATTAAACAAGCGTCGCTCTGTTCAATCAGAAAATGATTTTACGAGATTCGTATCGCAGCTGTCATAAATCCAAGTGGCCTTAAAGGGGGACTTTTGTGTGAGTCAGTAAACTGGAACCTGGAACGAGGAGGGAAAACAACATCAGATGTTGTGATGCAGCGGGAAGTCAATCAAATAATCAAACAAGGAGAAAATAAGCTGGAACGAGCTGGTTGGTTTCTCCCTCCTGCTCTGCTTCCTGTGATGCTGTGCAGATTTGACGAAAGCCAAAACCTCCACCTGGCTGCTGCACAGTCCAACCAGCAGAGAGACAGAGGACAAAATATAAGCATAAAAAAGCTGCAGTATAGCTTTGAGTATAAAGGTTGAGCAGAAATATTTTGTCTGTGTGAGAAAGAGAGAATAAAGGAGAAAAAGAGACTTGAAACAAACAAGAAAAGTTGAGCAGGTTCTTTTTTTGGTCTTTTCTTGTTATTTTTTTGGTCGAGTCTCCGGAGACACAATGTGCTGACTTTTTAATTGACCCTTACTTCCTGCCGTAGGATTACCACCACACACACACACACACACACACACACACACACACACACACACAAAATCTCCTTACACAGAAACTGGCATACATTCATACAAGCATGCACACACACACTCACAATTACAAACTACACAAGCTGACTGAGGAGCTGTGGGACTACGCAGACAACCCCACGTATGGAGGGCTTGTTTCTGAGATGTTAACTGAAACCACATGTTGGCTTTGCTGTGATCTGGCCCTCTGGGTGACTTCACAGGGGGGAGGGAGGGGAGGGGAGGGGGCTGGGTCACCAAACAGCCCCGATAACAAGACTGACGCACAGGCAAGTAGCACTGATAGGGATCTGGGGTAACAAGTGCACTGTGAGTCGCTGGAGTGTATCAGCATCTCAGCTGGCAGCTCTGGACCTGAAGGGACACTGAGTGACTGGACTGAGGAGGGTGAACAGTGATAAATGACTTATGTTAAGTTATAAATAGAAAGTATTGTGATATTACAGTGGAGTGAAAAATTAAGCGATGGAGGTTAGTTTAGTGGATGACTGCACAAAGACTGAGGTTCAGTTCTGTCGCTTTTTCCATTCTTTAATGTACATTATGAAGTAAATGTTGATTGCATGACGCAATGGCTACAGAAAAATGACATCATTTTCAAACTTGGAGTCTTCAGATCCAATTAACATCTAAGGACATTTTCAGACATTACACTGAGGCACTAAAGATTTTATAGTAGCATTAGTTTTAAAACACAGTCTTATATCCCAACACCTATGTGTAAAATTGGCAACATGACATGACTCAGTCCCTCCAGAATGCTGCCATCACAACAATTAATGCAAATTCAGCAAATTACCGTGAATTCTGTGCGACCTTATAATTTTGTCCAATCAACCCAACTTGACTACATATTTTCCTGTTTAAAACGGGTAAAATCTAAATCTAAAATTTAAGAGCTGTGTGCAGTGTATTGATTCACTCCGTCCCTCTCTCTTTCTGTTTGTCATGAAACCACTGCTGTGGGACGGAAGCTCTGTGTCTGGAGTCAAACACACATAGCGACAAGGCTAAATGTTAGCATCACAAAGCTAACGTTACCCAATGGTTATTACCGGTTTAACAACAAAGTCGAGCTGTTTCAGGCTGTTGTGAGATTAAAACAAGTGTTAATCGCTGTTGCGGGGCTTCTGCCCAAGCAGCAAAATATGATGAGTAGTGAAAAGAATATGTTATGTTGTAAGAGCTTTTGCTAATTGGGCAGAGAGAGCAGGAGGAGAGCCTCTCAGTCCGTGTCAAACAGCTGATTGGTGCCCCCACCCCACCCCAAACATCACAAATACATGCATCACAACTGTTTTTGTAATATTCACTTGTGCCCTCAATATCATTGCAAAAAATGCTTCTAAACATCTGCACTGCAATTTTTGAGAAAAGCTGTTGTGATTTGGGCATTTCAGGATGCAACAATCCCAAAAACTGCCCAAGAAATCCTGATGAGAAAGATGACTGTCCTCTCCAGAAAAACATTGGCATTGGTTCAGTGGTTTGAAATTAATTAAAACACAGC